TAGTCTTTGTTATTCGGCATTCGTTCAGTCTGAGCGCGGAGCTCGAGGTCTTTGAGTCGATCTGTTTTTCCTTGCCCGCACTTGCCGACCGCATTGCTCGGGGAACCCCATGTATTTCCTGAATGTTTTGGCTCGCGCTGTAATATCAACAAAATTACAGCATTTTTCAAACCCCTTCTTCGTCTCTGATTTCCCTCTCATTGCTCAATTCGCGCAGATGTAGACAACGTTGGTATAATGATCCTTCCGCTGGGAGATGTGGGCCACTCCAGGGCATACATGTCGGATAGAGGTCAGCGATCTGAGACGGCAAGTACCGGAGTACAGACACCATAGATAGCCTAGACGACTCATCGTGCAGTTTTCTTTTCGTGTGCATCCATGCTTTTCTTCCCTTTCTTCTAAGCAAATTTATCAACCTAGAAAGAAAAGCGATATATTGTCATTGTTGACCTCTACGAAGACTGCAGGTGAGGATGGTCAGGGAAAACCCTCTGTACGTCTCAAATACTTGAATGTTCTCTTCCGTTTCATTTCGTTCGTTCGTTAGTATGTCTTAACACACAGTCATCTATTCATTGTCTGCAGTTCTTCCTTTTATCCATCCATCTCTGTTTTGTGTCCTGTCTCCATCCCGCACACCTGTTCGGTCCTCCCCCATAAATCACAGTATTGAAGCGGCACCTCGCTGTGCGTAATCATGTCCCCGGCACCGCCAGGGTTCCCAGGTGAGGCGACCTGCCCTCATTTCACACCTGCGGACGGACGGTACTTTTTTATGTGAGCAATTTAGGACCTCCCAACGAGAAACAGCTCACCTGAGGTCAGGGGTCACTTCATCGGTCATTATATTCCGTTTATTCCTTCATTACATCACCCTTTCCACTTACAGTACTGTCTTAATGAAGCGGCATATCAAATTGCGTCTCAGAACAAACCGTCAGTTTAGTGAATTACTACAGAATTACTACAGATACAGATTGTCTTCCTCAAAGCCTTCTTCACTCGTTCAGTGCGCCGGTGTTCCTATAAAGTAGACCAGCTCGCGAAAAAAACGTTTTGTGGTGCGGTACTAAATGTTTAAGGTGTATCAGTGACATGCCACCATGGTTGTGAGGAACACACGTGCCTCAAGGCGCTGTGGTCGGTATAAAACTAATTTGGATACATTTAAGTCCGCTGAACATGCTCGATTGACCTGTGAGGAGAACGATTAAGCAATAACGTACAAAATCATAAGATGGTGAATCACTTGCAATTTCTTTCACTGGGAATTTTCTGGGTGAGATGCAGCTAACAGTTGTGAAATTTTCTGCAACATTGACACTGTGCAAGGACGTCTCGGTGTACTTTCCCGTGCCCTTTCGTCCCGTGGACTCCTCTCGTGCGAGGGAGGGGGACAGGGAGCAAAGATGCCCGGGTTTCCTTTCACTCGACCGCTCCAAGGAATATTTCATCTCTGGCGACATGAGGACCTCCCAGGAAGAAAGTAGTGTCCAACCCGGCTTAGGTATCTTCACTACCCTTCCGTCAATGTCGAAACGAGAGAGATTTGTGTTTTTTTCGTGTATCGTCTGTGAGACTGCGGCCGTGTCCTGACTCGTCACAGATCTTTATCTTCTGCGGCATTCGGTTTTGATCCAGACCTCCCATTGCTAACGTTGGGGGAGGAAAGAATTGACCTTGGAATGTATCAAGTGCTTTCCGTCCAAGGTCTTCGATAACACAACATCCTCGATTCCTGAGCTCTATGGGGATTTTCAATTAGTAGAAATCAGTTATAGGGATTGCGATTTAGCATGGTTGACAATTTTTGCCATCTCGTTTTGAATGAAAGGCGTCAAAGGCAAAAGAGTTTGGCGGTGCAAGAGCTTTGACTCATTATCTGAAACGGACGGAGCAGTGAGAGTAGATATACATAGAAAGAAGTAGAAATATCGTTGCCATTAATGACTATATGTGACATTCGTCTAGTAAGTTGTAGTTTAACACAGTGAGGTTTTTAAATCCGAGATAAAAACCAATGACCTACGAACTCCTCCCTTCTCGTTGTCTCGGTTACATCAGTTTATATGGTTGGTTGCTTCTCCAATAAGGTGGAAAGTGATCAAATGTCGGACCAATTTACCGCCTGAAATTTTGTTAGCTTTTTTCTCCGTCTCCATACTTCTGTCAGACCTCCCACGACACAGCGGGGGGTCATGGGAAGGTCACGTGCCACACCAACTCCTACAGGTGTGAGGGAGGAGAGTATTATGGGTCATTTACAACATGGCGGAGGTGTCCAAATGATTCAGACTGACAGCCGATGGGGATAGATTTCTCCTCATTTGGACCTCCCACAATCAGAGTGTTTCTCAGAATATTCGGAGGGAAAAGGGAGAGGCATTTTCCCTTGAAGGCATTTTCGCGGCCTCATTTAAACTATATAATCATTTTTTTTCACGATGGTATAGCTACATATGACGACTATGCCATTTACGACCAAACAAGAGGAACGTAACAAAAATGGGTAAATGCCTATAGATATCCAATAGAAATGTTTACACAATCACCTGAACTACAAATGACCCTAAAAGAAGAAAAATGGTGGGAACAACTGAAACACCTGTTTTTTCTGTCATTACAACACTTCAACTTTTATTCGCTTCTTCTTTACGTAGGTCGCATGGTTATAACCATGGTTCTAAAGCGTTTCTCTGGGACCTTGATGTCAGGTTATGAAGATGTCAAGGCCAAAAATCACTCAAACTTGTTTGTTTTTCTGCGTCCCTGTTTTCACCCCACCCTTATACTGTCACCCGCCATTGTCTCTTGAGGTCAGGCGAAGGTCAGACTATTTGTCGTCTGAACCGCCTCGTCTCGACTCAAAGAGACGTTTATTCACTAAAAGTGCATTTTCATTGCAAATTGCCGTGGAAATGTCTCTAATGTAAGTCTAGGAAAGTCTGTGTCACCATGTTTAACGATATGATTGTACAGTCATGAAGTCGTAGTGTCGTCTGGAGAGGAAGGAAGTCACTAGGTGGGAGTGGTTCTGGTGCGACCAAACTTCTCAAGTATCGTCCTGAGTCGTAGGAGGGAGACCTGTTCAAATGTCCCGAAAACTTCCTTACGTCTCAGGGCAACAAGACTAAAAAGGGGCCCTCCCCCTTTGTTTGATATACCCTGGGGATTTTTTAATATATTCGTGGTGACATCTGTTAGCTGAGTCGTCCTTGGTGGGCTCTCGTGACCCATCAAGTCGAGAACAATGCTCCGTGGTTCTGCCTTAATTTTCAGTGATTAACTCTCTTCATGAGAAGCCTCTAACAGAATCTGTAGTATCAAATAGCAAATAAAGCCTTTAAGAACAAAACTGGCAGATCAGTTCCGCCTTCAAGCGACAAGAAGTCAATACAATCTATTATCTTCGAATTTTACCCTTTCGACGTCCAGGAATTGTGACCTATTAAGTGGGTGACAACATGTCGCCACAAGGGCAGACAGTCGGAAACCTTAAAACAAACATTCGGAAAGTGGGCGGTTTTCTCTCTATTCTGGGTGTTCCAGGCGGTGCTCCATGGTTCAACCCTGATCTAGTTTGATAGGGACTTGCCCTTTTTTAAAAATCTTTTACATGTGGGAGGGGCAAGAGATTTAGGTTGTATAAACTGCGGTGTAAAATGGTTGTAAATGGGACATAGTTGACAAGCCTACATTTTTACGATGAAATATTGTGTACCATTTTTTTTTGCTGGTAGGGTTTCCTCGTATCCAAATGATGAAGATCGATAGTTTGGGCCTATATTCGAGTTGTAGTAGAATTAAAAGATAAGAAAGCAGCATGTCTGATGATGAAACGTTCAGGAATGTCATCATAAGATATCGAATTTTCTTATGTTCGGTATTATTGGAATCTGAGGTCATGATCAGTACTCACATCTACGTGTGACATCAACAATGTTTCTATGACGTGAAAAAAATGATAGAGGTACATTTTCAATGATTTTGAACTGCCCTTGCGTTTGTAAGATATTTTGTTGGTTACCAATATGCACTAGTTATCTATTACTTATCATTGTCATTGAAGGCCGATATAGTCGAAGTCAATATTGTTGCAAAACATTAGAAATGGTCATGTCTTTGTCCAAGACCTAAAAAGTTTCCGTGTTGTGGATCGTAAATACGAATTCCTGGGCGACAGGCGACATCAGAAGTCATTGTTCTGATGCAGGAAGCGGATGGCAGCGTGGTTTCGGCGCACTCCAGTTCGGCAAAACCCGTCTATTTCCGTGACTCCTCGGAAGCCCTTGAGAGTTTGGAATTTCGTCCGTTCAGGAACTTTGTACTTTTAACAAATAACGTGTTTAGCCTATGACATAAAAGAATGCGTGGGCTACGAAAACCAACGTCCTAATACCATTGTCTATACAAAATTTTCGATAAAATACCGTCAGATTTCGTCATGACTAAGATATGCTGCTGAAGGCTACGTGGTGAACTTCACATACATAACTCTAAACTGACATCAACACATACCTTGTCAACAACGGAATGTTAGGTGTTGATTGTCGTATTGTAATTTCCTGTCTGACATTGTTATTTTCTAGATTAAGCTCATGTTTTATTCTGATATTTTACTTTCATTGGTAGTCACAGAAGATCGTTCTTCATTACAGGTTGTTAATTAGTTACTGGTAATGATTTTTTTCTTCTGAACGGTAATGCTCGTTTTCCGTACCTACGTGGGTGTTTGTGGCACCCCACATTCCTTAGCAACATTTATAACGTCCCGTAAGTATTCAAAAATGTTTCCAATACCGTCTCTGATTCTGTGTGTTCTAACCAGCCAGCCAATGGGCGCGGGTCTTGTGGCCGGCCGTCATGTGGGTACGTTGACACCCCCAATCCTTCCCTGGGGCGGTCTGAGAGGTAATTACCTACCTGTCATGAATAGCATTACACTGGGCGTTATCGGGTGACCGGGCTGGGGGTATATATATTGGCGGGAGGCCAGACTCTACACGAGACCGAGCAGAGCTGCTTGCTGTACGCCTCGCGTAGCTAACAGCGGATTTGCATTCTTAAGCCTTGTCTATATATAGTGACTGTGGACACGACTTTTAGACCCGACCACTAAATAGCAGCCATGGCAATTACCGTAGAGCGCCAAGTGGCAGTAGCAGTCCTTTTGGTCGTCGTTGAGAGCGTCTTGGCGAGGAATTTGATCCCGTCCGTGTTCTACTTTAACGTGAGCGTGAGCGGGGACGGCGAGCGCGTGCTGAGCGTCGTGAAGGACGGCGTCTTCGCCCGGGAGACCTCCGTGGTGCTGCCCGAAGGGACGCCGCGCACCCCTACGGCGGACATCAGGTTCCGGCAGGTGACGGACGGCCGGGTCTTCACGCAGGCCGTGTACGGCGGGGACGGCGTGGTCCGGGACTGCGACGTGCGGGAGGACCGAGACGCGATCGACGGCTTCGTCGCCTCCTTCCTTGCCGAGGACACCACGGTGACAGACGACGCCTTACGACGAGGACTCGTCCTGGAGTCGGACTCTCTCCGGGCGGACTACCTGTGGACGGAGTTCTCCCCTCTAGTCGTGGACGGCAGCGAGGGCCTCGTGTCCAACATCTTAACCCTGGTGGACTTCAAGACGGTGAAGGGAAAGTGTCGGGAGTTCGAGAAGGCCGTGAAGAGAGAGATGCACCGGCTGAGGGAGAAGAGAGACACCGGCGGCCGGACCAAGCGTGCCGGCAGCTGGCTCATCTACCCCCGGGGACGAAATGGTGCGGAGCCGGCGACATTTCATCCAAGTTAAGTCCTCCTTACCTTTACTGTGATTCAATTTTCCCGCACCTATTATTATATTATGTATAAACACCCTTTCTTCCGGAAAACTGCAATGTTACAATCTAGTTGACAGCTTGTAAATAGGGTTGGATACTCTAACTAAGAATTCACAGACATAAGTGTTGCAGAAATAATGCGGAGTAATCCAACCTCTAGCCTTACGTGATGAATTGTGTCGGAAGAAAATTTGATTTACCCCGTCAACAAAGTGACAGGAGCGCTGTGGCCGCGTCTGAAAAGACTGCGGCGATTGTTAGTGTGAGTGCCTGCCGGGTTTCAGTAGCGCTGGGCGGCGTAAACGTGCCTCAGGGGCGCGGGACGGGCAGGTATGTCAACCTAATAAGAAAGGACAAGAAGACTGGGCAGCCCTCTTCTTAAGACGGGACACAAACTATTTACTACATTTGGGGGCCACCGTAAAGTTAGTTTGTTTTCGTCTCAGGCAATGATTTTTTCAGCAAGGACATAGAAATTATATGATTATCAGATCTGCTGTTTGCGACGTAATATACTGTCATATATTGTAGTTGCAAAATTGTAACCGTAGTGTCCAGACTTAGTGTCAAGGTACAATGTAGCTCGCGGTTTACTATTCTGTACACGTTTACTGTCCATTCCGAACTGTCTCTTGAACTTGAAGTGAGGTTTTGTTTCATCCACCGTTCGGCGTAGTTTTTGTACCGTCCCTGGATCCACCTGCAAGACAGTTCGCCTGTAGGTCTGGCTATTTGAACAGCTTATGTAAAAATTTCACCGACATCGTTCCAATGAATCGAAGGGTTTTGTCTGCAAGAAAAGCAAGTGGGGACAGCTTGAGTCGGCCCGGGTTTATTTCTTCTCCAAACGTTTCCCTAGCACAACGTGGACGTCTGTCATCACATCCGAGCGGGTAAGCCCGTCCAACGTGGTGCTGTTCTCCGCTCTACAAATAAGCTGTGCTACCGATTATTAGCGGGGTTTTCCGCCCTCAGTAACATCGCGGGGGCAACTCGGGGCAAGTTTTGGCCACATGCCAACAGCTCGGCAAATCTGTCCATTCTTTGGAAGCCCTTGTCACAACATTGTGGTTGTGCGCGCCCCAGGCCTGTGCCTTTAACGAGGACAAAATTGCACCGCCGAGTCTGGGAGATTTTAGACGGGAGAGGAAGATAAGAATAGCTGTGGTCTGAATTTTTAACAGGCGCTCCCAAGACCGACTTTGATGTCGTCTTGATAGTGACAAATTCACGAGCAAGTCATTGCGTCCAATCTTTGATAAAACACTCATCATATGGAAGTGAATTGTTAAGATCTATCCGGTAGATGGCGCTACTGGTGATTACGGAGGGCTACAATTTCTTCTTCCTTGGATTTAGTTGTTTTTCCGTCATTTGCTACGAATTTTGCATTTTAATCCGTTCGCCTGCCTTGTCCTTCAACAGTTGGTGTTGGGTTGCCAGGATAGCGGGCAAGGTTGTGGAGATAACCTTGCTGCGAGACGACATTGCAGGATTCTCAAGTTTTCCGGCACGAACTTGAACTCTGCAAGGTTCCTCCCCGACGGGATATTGTCTTCTGTCTCGTTGCGTGCTTCTGCATTCTCAAGATACGTCTCCTGTTTACGTTTAGATGCTATCGTCTGGAATTGCAAAGATATGTCGTTTTGTTGTTAAACAAACTCCGGGCGTTTTGACACTGGGAATGAACGCTATTTCCCCGCCTTGCTCCTTCTGTCTGCCGGACTCCGAACCATTAACTTCTTTAATGGCTCTCCTTTACAGTCCCCTACTTCTGGAGACGATATCACCTTACACACGAAGAAAGCCTGTTTGTTGATTCTGAGATACTATCTCAAATTAGGTGTTACAGTCATCTGTCATGATCCCGCTCTACCGTCGCACAATCTGACAGTTCATCTGCCAACGAAAGTAAAGTTTACTGCTTTTTCCTTTCATCTCAACTACAAACAGGTGAATTTTGCACCTCATAGCCTCAGACGATCACGGTTGATCTTCATGTTTCGTCCGACAAAGGTATATCTTGTCATTCGCATCTGGACGGCATATCTTGTCATTCTCTGTTTTTCATTCAGTTAAGTTATACCTCACGCAAGTGCAGTCGTATGCATGTTAACCGTTACTGCGATGAAAACAGCGGTAAACCGTTTCGTATGTGAGTGTCACTGCGCGCGCAATTTTTCAACTCGGAGCTCTGTCGGTAAACAAACAGAGGCTGACATCGACCTTTCAATGCTTAGTAAACAAACTTTGGACCTCGATCACGAACTCACGGGCGTCACAGCCACTTGTAGCTATTAGCTGGGCATGAACGGACTGATTAGTCGGATTTTGGTGAGGAAAGAAGTCTTGACTGAAAAAAGTAACAACTGCAGACGACAGGTGCAGTCGCCAAGGGATACCCAGAAGGCTTTGTTCAAGATGGCGGCGGTTCTAATTCTAGCGATCAATGTTTATTAGAAATTCACCAAGAAAGCTCTATCACACTTTATTTTTCATACAGATGGCAGAGAAACATGTTTTACTCCACTGTGAAAGTTTTCTTCTTTTTATTTTCGAAGTTGCACCAGGTGAGAGATATTGGCCGCTGTACCATCTTTCTGATGTTATCTCTCGGACAGCACACAATAGGACACGTCCGCCACTTCCGATGAGAGGCCAGCTTGTCCCCAACCCGCATTGTCCCTAAAAGAATTCTCGCTGCAGGGAAAGGGCAAGAGGCCACCGCTACACAATGTGGGTTATGCTAACAGCCCGGCTAATTTTCGCCCATCAAGGAAATGTGTTTCTTGGAGCGACGTCTCGTCCCAAAGTATGATTGATCACAGCCCATAACTCAGGAAGTAGACGAGACGAGAGGTGAATAGATAGACATTCGTTGTGGTTGAGGTGTTAAAAACCTGTAATCATAAAGACTAAAAAAAACCTTATACGTTACGTTTTCACGTTCAGCCGGGGGAACCCATATATACACCTGCGTTGGAATGTAAACAATAACAGGATAGTGTATCACCCAGATATGCAACGAACGCGTGGCGCTACAGTCGCTTGCCTAAACTTTGAAAAAAATGGGCGATGTCTGAGTAAACATTCGTGCTTTACCTTTTCCAGGTGATAAACTGTACTCCTGTCGGTATGCGTGCCATGTCCTCAAAGTCACGGGGATTGGGGAAGTGGTATTCTCACGGAACCCAGTTAATGTACAGACAGGTCATTGTCAAACTTTACTGTGATTTAAGATCAAGGGCAGACATAAGTAATGAGCACACCTATGTTTTAACTGGTTTCATCCCCCGTTTGTTATTTCGTCCTTTACCTTTTGAAAACAATGCTACGCTTTCTACGGTAGTCGTTCCCCTCTTTGCCCTTTTTTTTCGTGGCCATGAACCGAAAGTAACTGTCTTCATGATTACCTTCCACTACGACAAGTTTGACCCCAAAACTACAACACCAGAGAATACAGACGAAGAAACGTGATATCTGCTGAGCCTTACACATGTTTGGTCGATCTCTTCTCAGTGACTCGTGGTAAAAACATCCCTTCCGGTGTCCTACAATGTCGGCATCCAGACCGCGGCCTGATCCACACAAACCACGATGTTTAATTCAGGTGTTACTGCCGCTTGTTTTATGTTAAAAGTCAAACCGCCCGAAGCAAAGCCGGATTTCACCACAACAAACAGATGTCAACCCTGCCGCAGACATTGCTATAGCTCAAGGACATGCTCTATTATCTATTTCCTCACTTATTGTCTGATCTGCGACCTGGGGGACCTTTACCTGCCGATCAAAGGTTTAGACAGGTGGGGTGATCAAATACGTCACATCACGCCGATGAGAGATATACGGCTTACCGATTAGAGAATAGGACGGTGGATGACTCAAACGATTCCTTTTTTATGAACGAGACAAAAACGGAAGTGTAGGTCATCTGAACAGCCATCTATAACTCCCCCCACGCGTGCCACGACTCAATTTACGCCGCCTAAAAATGGTCGCGACACAAACAATTATTTGGAGGACAAGAACATACTGTATTCAGTCAATGCCGGGCGTTTTGAAGTGTCATAGGTTGCCTCACTTCTTTGCGATCCATTTTATCCAGCATTGCCGCGCCTTTTTCTGGTAGAAAAATGAAAGAACACTTGTTTGCTGCCATTGTAGTGAAATGACAAGGAGCAAAAACCTGACATTCAATTAACCTTGGCCCAAAACTATCCACATCCAGCACGGACGTAATGAGAAGTCTGATTGGCTGTAGGAACGAATGGTCGAGTCCTTGTGTTCTGTCGTTCTCCGAACTTGTCAATCAAATACATTGCGTCCTTGTCCTCTGTTAACATGTTTTGGATGGTGATCACTGAATAGAAAATTCACAACAAAGGATTTACTAGAACTGGCAACGTATTGTGCGATGAAATCGTCCGAAAGTCATGCCTAAGCCTCGTGTCGCAAACATTATCAGCGTGCCCCTTGAAGTAGTCCTGACGTTATTGTTAGATAACTCCGCGGGGTGACAGTGTCAGAGCTCACAAATACCGAGTCTTCCCTCAGAACTCCCTCAAAGGACCACCGCAAACACACGCGACTAATACCTTAAGACGGTATTTGCTCGGTTAACAACCAAGTCTTGGGCGTACAAGAAAAGACGAGGGGGTCTCAGAATTATCTTCTTAAGATGGCACAATTGGTAAAACGGCATTAAAGGTATTAAGCAAAGCCTTGTCGTTTTTTTGGCCACCTTTTGATACTATGATAGTGTACAATTTGGGGGGTTGGGTGCGCCCCCTTTGTTGGTGCTCTACTTTTGCAACCTTGGATGAATTCCAGTCCCTTAGAGTAGGTCGTCTGTGTGAATATGATACCTCTACATGGATGGACAGTTCTTAAAAAGTGAAAGCTGTGACCGAGATCCAAGTCAATCGGAAAGACAGGATTAGGAAGCAAAGAGGGACTGGAATACAACAGGAGGAACTTTTAGGAAGAGAGCGGTTGGGAGAGACGAAAAAAGAGATGGTATAGGAACGGACAGCTTCCGTGACGGTTACCTGGCTTTAACGTTACCCAAATGAGGACCAATCATGAGGGCAATGACTGTTGCTAATGCAACCCACAAAGTTTCACAATATATAAAGATGTCACCTATTTCAAATGTGCATAGACCACTTCTTTCTCTGGTAGAGAGCAAAAAAGTCGACAGGTCAAGCTTGGAAAGTCCAGATGACGGGCAAAGATGCTACAGGTGTTGTCAGATGGCGCGGTGATGCCTTCATGTCTGACTCCACACCGTCAGAACACTAAACCTCGCACACTTCTCACTTACCAAACAGCACCCCAGATGTTCCGGATTCTGTAACAGGGAGAGAATTATCTGTGCTGACAGGCTCCGCCGTTAAGTGGCGAAACAGCCCCGTACTTTGTGCTGGGAGGCAGATTCCTCCACACTAAAAGGTTTGATATGGTTAGGGATTAACGCTTCGGACAACACGTGCGTCCACAGGCGATGCAGCCGGCCTGGCCGAGGGCTTGTTCTTTGTAACCAGCGCTGTGTGGAATGCCTGGAATGGCAGGTTGGATGTGTTAATACTGTTTGTAAGGACGCCCCCGAGTGAAGATTTCAACCACGGTATCTGAGAAGTGACCCTTCGTCGGGAAGAGAAGCTGTCAGGATGTGTCGTCTTGCCAGAGACGATACCGTGGGTTTAGTACGCGAGGTTAATCTCAAAGAACATCTTGTGATTTTAAGTGCGAGTAAAATCTACAATTGATCGGGATCCTGGGAATAACCACACCTTCTTAATAAGAAATATTTCGTACGTTTGATATTCGTGTTTCACTTTAAAATTGAAGGGTACTTAATTGATTTCTTTATTTTCTCCTTTTGCTTGCAGGTTTGATGACCTGGGAGAGGAGGCGGAGGTGGACAGGTGCTGTCGGGAACACGACCACTGCGAACACCGCATCCCTGGCTTCTCCACGGCGTACGGCTTCTTCAACGTCCGCTTCCACACGCTGTCACACTGCGACTGCGACGACAGGTGAGGATGGGGCTACCGGGAGGGAATGAGGGAGGGATAGGTGAGAGGAGAGGTAGGGCGAATGTAGGATAAGGGGAGGGAGAAAAACAAGATGAGAGAGGACTGAAGCCAAGGGGAAGGAAAAGAAGGAAAGGGGCAAAAAGGAAAGATGGAGGGAGGGGTGAGAGGAGGTAGGAGAGATGTAGGATAAGGAAAGAAAGAAAAACATTATGGGAGAGTACTGAAGACAAGAGGAAGGAAAAGAAGGAAAGAGGGCAAAAGAAAAATAAGGGAAAGTGAGCTTAAGAAATTAAACGTACGCGGATAGACATACCTGGGCACGGGGATAGTTTACAATGACATATTAAGGACGATTGAAGGGGAGGTTTTACGGATAAGGAAGAGGATTAAGAAAAGTGGGAGGCGCGAAACGGAAGGAGGAGAAGGATTAGAGCAGGAAGAGAAGGTGTGGGAGGGGTGTTTTGACTTCTTGGGTATGAGCTATCTTTCCTTTTCCGTCTTGTCTCGTCTGAACTCCTGTACGGCTACCTTTGATCTATAAGACCCTGACAGGACGCCCCCTGACCGACATTCCTTCACTATGGAGTATTATCTCCAGGGGAATATGTGTCTCCTGCCTGTTTTGCGTTTTTGTGGCCCGTTTTGTATATTTCTCTGTTGATGCACGCTTGAGCAAAGATGAACAGAAAAAGAACACATAATACAGGAAAATAATACATAACGCTGTCAGAAAAGAAATGTGAAAACAAGCCGGGGTCATACATCTGCTTGAAGACCAGTCGAGACGAGGTTCTCACGAGCAAGGGTTGCAAACATCTGTTGTGATGGACGTCATTAAGGGCAGGGTCCCACAAACCTGCTCCGTCCTTCCACCGTTTAGCGCACCTGTCGTCACCCAAACAAAGGCCCAGTCGGATTCTCCCTTTCCCCGACAATATTGACTAGTTGTCCCGTGGGTGACCAAACAAGACTCCGTGCCCCTTACCGGGCCCGTCTCACCGGTATCAGGTTAGGCTGGTAATGTTTGTGGTTTCATAATCCATTGTAGGGACGTTTGTCTGGTTCAACTTGCAACAAGACCTTCGAAGTGGGGTCAGCGCGTGCCGCTCCATTTTCTCACGCTTGAGTTTCAAGTGTTGATGGCCAGACATTGTGCTCCGTGTGTTCATGCCTTTGTCCCCGGCTGTCGCCAAGTCTTCTGAGGCCGGCTTGAAAAGAACGTCCTCTCGCAGGTGATGCGGCGTTTTTGTTGATAGAATGCGGCATGAAACAGTCGGGCTGGCCCCCTGGTAACAGAAACCCGCTCTTTTCCCACGCTCTTTCTATAAAGTCTGTAGCAAATATTTGTGCCATATATATGTACTAAATAATATGTACCCCCTCCGGTTCGGAATATTCCCACACTATTTTGTTTGGTGCCGTTACTCACTTCTATACAACACACAATCGAGGACTAAACACGGCAACAACAGCAGTGTACAGGTGTCAATAAACCATTGGTTTGAAGGACTGTTAGGTAACTCGTGTTTTAATTCTGTCCGTCTGTGTAGTAAAAACTACTCGCACACAACATCCCCAGTGTATAGAGAGTACAGATTTTGAGTACGAGAAGTAAGAAACTGGCACATGTATGTGAGTAGACAGCATAGTCTCTCAGCGATCTCATCTCCGTACGTTCTTAGGTAATGTTACATTGGGTCCCTCCCATAGTTTGCTGGCCATGTTGCGGTCGGCGTGCAGTACGCCGTACGTTGTGCCGAACACCGCAGGTACGCGACCGCAACATTCCCCGCTGTGTTGACGTTTGTTTAAGGGGACGACCTCAGGTGTGTACGAACAACATTTGTAATCGCCAGATAATGTTTCCCGCCAGTACCGGGGTGAAATTCCTCCGCTGTTTGTCTATTCGTTCGGGCGGCACAAAACGTGCGTCTATTTTCTCAGGAATGTAAGTCGATATTCTTGAGGTGCGACCTGCCAACTCTCATCATTTCAGTTCATCCCTTCAAAGCCTTCCGCCCCAAAACCTGCGTAACACGTGCCCTTAAGGTACCGAGTGATCACCTATAGGCCCAGGTGTACAAAATCCACAACTTCAACCCCCAAATTTGACCCAAAACCCAGCAGGTGGCATCCTCAGCCTTAAGAAAATACGTGAAATCAAGTTTTTTATGGAGTTAATCAGTAGGCATTAAAGGATTACCGTAAGTCGTTAAGTCGCTGTCGTCGGGATGATAAATTATGTGCGAGAGACGAAATGACATGTTACCGTCCAACCGGTATGGGACGGGCCGGAGACTAGTGTTAGCCGATAAGAAAATTGGTCTGGTAGAAGATTTATACCCGGACAACCGACGACAAATTAGCACAGTAAAACATCACAGAAAAACGTTAATTTCAAACTCTAAGACCACTGATTTTAGATTCTTCTTTCACTTTTCAACGTGACAAATCTAAACGAGCGCATCGAAAAGCTGTCAGCTACATTTGGCTGCTTTCGGAGGCGGGCTTTTCTTGACGCCGAGCCTTGTCACTAAACACTGGGTACCTCGTCTCCAATCTTTCTTTATCTTAAGGGGTATATGGGGGAAAATAGTCATGAAGCACGCGGTAAGTACAGGTTTGCAGGCCCAGATTTCCGACGGTTTCCTCTAGCTTACTGCAGGTGCAAGTCGTCTCGTGGGTCAAGTGACATCCAGACTGTCAGATGACAGGCCGAGCGCGCACGATGTAATTATTCCCCGACCTTTCCCTTTGAAACTGTGTCCTCGGTGACTCAGGCCAAACAACCGCCCTGTAATCTGTCTAATACCAATCTCGTTGTTCGCAGAAAGCCAGCATTTTTCCGGACATTACTTTCCAATGAGGTAGGCTAAGCTGCAGCTATACAAATCGCCGCATGGCGACGCTTCGTCAGGAGATGGCGAATGATCTTTTCACTTTTGACTGGAAGAAAACGCAAACCGATAGCTTGCACGCCTTTTCGCATTCGGTTAGGATGGCCTTTTGAAGTCTATTCAAGCGTTTTGAAGTTACTTTGTAAGGAGAACAAGTGATAATTGTTAACTCTGTATCTCTTTCAAGGCATTTCCTTATCAATGATGATCGGGTAGACAATGTCTATTTGTCACTGCGCGTTGGTGGTCTGTTCTAATGGTATAAACACACGCATCTTTTCATCGGGGAAGAGACGACAAGATAACATTGTAATTGGTAAACCTGTTTTATTTTGTTTCTGACAACAAACAAATGTGTTTACCCCTTTCAAAGATACGGAAGTACTCCTGTATCTGAAAAATGGCGTCCTCATGTTTCTCGCATAACGTCATTATTGAACAAAAGACTACCAAGAAACTACGATCCGTCCTCAGCACAATGAACACCTGTTTGCAGACTGTGAGTGAAGGTATCCGAACATTTGCACACGCTGATTCTGTTCGCTACATTCCCTGCATTGGTGGATTCACTAGCTTAATTTTGAGAACAGCAAATAAACTGGCACCCGATCTTCAAAATGCTCCTTACGATTTACGAAATGAAAGAAGAGATTTCAATGTTATCTCAAATAGCCCGAAGCGAAAAGCTGTATCGTGTTTCTCCATCTCCCAACACAGACGCCTTCTTCACTGAGAAGTCGATCTACTCCCCATGGTTTGGTGGTTTTTGTCAGGGTGGTGGTCTCGCTTTAAGTGCGGTAAGAAACCGGCCGGGGGCGGTCGCGACAAAATTTACACCACAAATGTCGGCACGTGCGCCCAGGTAAAATCCCTGCGCGGGACAAGCAGGTGTTCCGGCCGTATCCTAGCAACCAAGACACCGGCGAAAGAGTCTTTAAAAAAGGACGCAGAGAGCCGAAAAAAAGCATAGCAGGAATGCTTGACCACCGATAGAATTCCTCTTTAGCATGTTTGGCATTTTTTCTGCCGTGTTTTGGGCAGTTTTACCTGTTTAAGTAAACTTTTTTTACAATAGGTGATTAGACATTCTTCGCATAGTTCATGGCGTCACATACATCTTCGTGGCAGGTTTAGTCACAAAAGGCTCAGAATGATTTACGATATTTCAACAAAAACGTCGTTACTAAAAGCAATAAACTTTAACCTAATCTCCAAGCAGATATTGGTGCGAACCATCGCTACGTTTTCCAACGGCCCGGCGTCTCTGACCCAATAGATATGCATGTTAGAAAAGCCTAACCGTCACAAAACGTAATCATCTTTCGCGCCAACAAAAATACGAACCATTGCTTTGCTCTTCAGACTGCCATTTAATCGGACCTGTAAGTCATAGTCACGCTGTATATATCGTACAGTGACACGGGAAACACTAGGTCACCTACAGTACCGGACTGAAACTTGCCTGGCGCCGACCGACCCGGCCGATAGGTGTGGGAGAGGAAACCTGGGGAAAGCTAGAGGTCTGCCGTATTCTATCCCTAACTGCCGCTTCTGGGTGGGCCTTGTACATCAACCGTGAACACTCAGAGAAGCCATAGTAGAAGAAAGGGAAGTTTTGGCAGCGCTAATTTCCGCGCCAGGTTTGAAGTTACACCTTCACGTCAGTTTCTGCACGTCTTAAAAATCAGGAGGATTAGTAATACATCCGTTACGCGTATCTTTGCGTTCCTCTGCGGTTTTCACAGACCCCCACTTGTCGCTCCCTTCTGGGCTACCCTGTCTTATTCTGACCATGGAGTCTTAGCCTCTACCAGGCTTCGGGAGACGGCTGGAAAGAGTAGAAATCGGCCAAATAGAGAGATAGCATGCCAGGGGAGTTGGTCCGCTAGAGAGTCCATTTTGCCGCTTGGGTTCTCTCCAGCAGACCAACTCCCCTGGCAGTTGGTCTGCTGGTCTATTTGGCCAATTTCTACTCTTTTCAGCCGCCTCCCGAAGCCTGGTAGAGGCTAATGGAGTCCCCCTATAACCTCATTGGTTTTACATCGACGGCAAAGTTCTACCTCACTTTCCCTACGGCTAACTATCCTGCCTGACCCGGCAACCCTTTCCCTAAATAAATCCCGTACCTTTCCTTTCAAAAGACGCAGAAACTCATTAAAGCCATAATGGAGGGTATTTCCTGGGGCGGGTCGAGGTGTGGGGTATTACTGAGAAATACCCAACATCCTTCAGGCTATCCACACACTCTTAAGTAACGTTTCCGTCCATTTTTCACGAGAAGTCGTTCTCCAAGCAAAGCCTTTGGCGTTTTTACCTCCTAAACCTGCTTCAACTGTTCCCTGAATTATGTGAGAAATTGTATAACGACGATAAAATCTTAAAGGAGAGGAAGTGGGGATTAAAGGATAAGGAATTGTATAGCCTTACAAGGTAACATTTTATATGACTATGTTTTATATGTTTTGTTCGCTACAAGGCTGATCAAGTTGAGATGGAAACTTTGATCAAGTTGAAATGGAAACTCCTCCAGATAGTTGATGTACTAGGAAGTGGCCACTAATGTTTATTTTTGTTCGTGTTTCCACAGATTCTACAACTGCCTCCAGTCGACCAGGAACCCCGTGGCTCACATGGTCGGCAAGATCTTCTTCAACGCCGGGCAGCCGCCGTGCTTCGACCTCAACGAGGAGCACGGCTGTCTGAAGCGCTCCTGGTGGGGAGGGTAAGTACTGCAGCCTTTTCCACAGGTCCCACATTCCCACATAGTTGTATTCAGCCAATCACACATGACATGGACGTAGGACCATGTACTTTTAGCATGACAACAGCAATATATATGGTTAAAGTTTTGTAAAAACAGTGGTAAAAGTGAAAAGTTAAAACGCACATTCATTTCCTCCTTGCATCGCTTGTGTCTTACAATTTTATAATTTGAACGCCGTCAACCATTACCAAAGATTGTTCACTAAAGTCAACATCTCTGTTGCACAGGTGCTACAAATACGGGATGACCACATTGGCTACGCTGAGACAACCAATGAAATACGAGCCAAACAAAATGCTTCCAATGAAGCACGAGCCGAGCAAAATGATTCCCCAGGACGAAATGAAGAACAACAACAACAACAACAATAACAACGACAATTACAACGACAACTACAACAGCAGGTCGTCGGAAGAGAGAAGTTCCAAGAGGAGGCCATTCATGTCCAACAAACCGAAGGCATCCAAACGCAAAGTAAAATCCAAGAAGATCCTTCGTGGTCTTATGGGTCCAACAAGGAACATTGCAAGAAGTTATTACTAGTGATCTTTAGCATATATTACATTCTTCAACATTCTGTCAACAGAAATGCTAGCCAACTTTTTGAATCCTTTATATTGGTACTCAATGAGTAACGATCCGTCTCTATCACAAATGCTTTATATCCCTCCTATCATGAGCTATGCAAAGGCTGCATCATTCTATACAGTACAATGATAGTACAACCCAACGCCAGATGTCATCAGTGAAAAGGCTGAAAACTGGACACACGTTTCCCTTGACAGCACGAATGACCATTGGCAAATTTGTCAAAATAAGCACATCATATATATTATAGAATTGCTACGAAGCGCAGTCTACGACTAATGGGCTCTTGTCCTCGCCATTGCTGGACAATGTCTATTGCCAAAACGTCTATTAGTGACGATGATTTTGTCATTGAAATCATCTTCAATGTACGAAATATTTGCATAGCAAGAATCACTACTGCTTAAGTACATGCATCACTTGTGCACGTTCTGGGGTTCCAGTTAAGTTTTATACGAGTGTACCGCGACGTTGTCAGATGAGTTAATAGTAAAATAGTCCAGACGTCTATCCAGAGCCCCAACACCACACAATGCAGTCCACGAGAGACTCCTAGCGAGCTGTAACGACACCATTGTACAACAGGCTGACGGTTGACAGCTTGCATTTTCATGTAATAATTGTATCATTTTTTCAAAGAGTTCGACAATGTTTTCCATATCCCTTATTTACTGTACATGTATTTATGATACTACTATGTGAAGCTGAAATGGCTGCTTTGTACATATGGCTGCGGTAAAAGTGTAAAAACGGTTCGAGTGTGCATGCCGCATACTTGTATTGACAGCCAAAGAAATTGCGTTTTGTTTATCGCACTACATAACCTTAGAGCGCTATTTCTCTTGAGTTGACACAGATTTTCTATTTATTGCGTTCTGCTATATATGTTTCATTATCTACTCCCATGTATGGTACCAGGCACGTGTATTTTTGTCAGCCTCTCTGACTAGCATGAAAGTTGGAAACATTTCTCATCCCGTGACACCTGTAAATCATGCAGGACCGACCTCACATGTACTACCTCCTACCAGCGTTAGATGACGCAGCTGTTTAGTCAGGCATCGACAACTTTACTTGCTTTTACCGAAGAGGCGTTTGACACTACAGAATTGCTATTCCTATGGAAGGCATGCGGTAGTACATTTACTGTATCATATCAGTGTAAATAAATTGATGAAGATGAACACTATTTGTGTCTTTCATGATTGCTTGAGTAATCTATTAGTAGACATTTATATATATATAAATGCGCTCCTTTATCAATATGGTCATGACGTTGAATACTGTCATAACTGTCAAAGATTGAGTTTATTTTCAGGAGTACTGCTCAGTAACACAATAGCACTGTAGACAAGGAGAAGTCTTAGGGGGTAAATGTGTCCCCATCTTTGAGCCTAGAAAAGTCATACTGTAAACGAACATGCACCGTTTGAAGGGCAACAGCTGGCGCAGCTGAGCTGGCGGTACTCGGCATCGTACATGACACGAACAAAAGATCGCAAAAGCTTCGGCTCCAAATTTTGTGTCTCATTCGCTTTCATTGTCTTTATAATCATCTAAAGAATCGAATTCCTGACTGTCTATCTGCACCACTAAAATTCAAGTAGCTGTTCGACTACCTGTGAGGATGTTTAGATGCACGGGGAAAGCATTGTCGCTGAATCGCGTGCTATGTTCTGTGTGGCATAATTAAGGGCCTGAAATTTGAGCTGCTCCCCTGAAATGCCGCGCCTAGAATCTGCATACAGTTCCGGGGCAGGACAACAACACAGCAAGCAAGTGTGAAGTCATATCGACGACGATCTCTCCTTTCTACAGGTGAGTGACTGTATTCCATGTCTTACGTACAGAGAAGTGGCTTAAAATCCCACCTGTTCGTGAGTAGGGGGAGTCAGCGTTCTCTGCTTCTTGACGTTTTTGTGTGAAGTGTAAACATACATCTCTACACAGATTCTAACACAGGGAGTGATCCCTTACATATCCTTAACTCGTGTGGTTACAGTACTAGCCTTTTACCGACACACAGGTGTGCTGGTTTTACCTGTACATGAACATATCCCGACCACACCCTAACCTTAATGTTTCGTCCCCGGAGTTCACACCGGGTGACATTGAATACAGTGTTTTGGTTGTGCTGGGTTGTGCTATTAGCCGCAAGGGCATTGTTGTCATGCTTGATGGGTAAGGACCGTAAGGTACATGTCTGCATGTGATTTTTACGGAAGTTCTGAGTTATTTTTCTGACGGTGGTTGTTTTCCGTTCAGTGCCAACGCCTCGAGCGTTGCGTAGCGAAAATCCGGATGGAACCCAGGCTAATATTAATCAACGGGCGTTGACATCCTAGTCTGGTAAACATCCCAGATAACATTATTACAATCGTATCTTTATGATCCATTATAACTGACTCCTGTCCCGTAAAATTTCCCGAAGTTGAATGAATGAGCTAGGCGGGCGGGTGACACTCCCAGTACCGATGAGAAGCTCGCGATGGGCTGGTACCAGGCTGCAGGACATCCTGTCCTTGATTTCCGGGACTCGTGCCCTTGGGAATCATAGATGAGATAATTTGTAAATAATAGATATAACGTTATGCTTGAAAGCTCCCCTTTTTTGAGACAAACGTTAAGAAACGGGTGTGAGGGTTAGTTTCATACCTTTGAGCACATGACATACTAGTAGTAATATGATTCATCAACGCTGGAAACACACACTTACTTCCCTGAACAGTACCCAAGCTCTTTCCCACCCGACCCCGTGGTTATTAACGGTTTGACCCCACGAACAAGGGCGCACGTAAAACCATTCTCCTAGAATGATGCGATAAGATTTAATCGAGATTCTGAGTGCCACTTTACCGATCTTCAAGTGTCACGCTGAGTGCACCAAGACCATTTCTCAAAGAAAGGGCCATTAGAGGTAAAGGACCAACTTACTTAACAAGATTATCATCCAGGCTGGTTTAGGAATTCGACCAAAATAACTAAAATTTCTCTTACATATCATATGTTTGCAGAAAAGATACGGTACAATAGATAACGGAGTGACCGAGGCCTAGTATAATACACTGAGACAACAACAAGTCTTCCATCGTCAGGAGACTGGAGTCTACAAACCATGGCCGCGCCAGCTGTAGAGAAACCGGAGGTGCAGGTTGAACTTGAAGTAAGCTTAAGATTCAAGTTTAGAAAAGGATCGAATGATTTGATTTTCCATTTTAAAGATTAAAATCAATGCATTGATGTCATCTTTTTGTCATTCTTGTGCGCGTGCACCATGACATTGACCTTTGTGACGTCATACATCCGCCAGCCTATCACAGCCCAGCCGAGTCACGTGGTCCTGGCAGACCAGGCGCCGGTTCCTATTGGCTGTCCTCCCGGGCTGGAGTACCTCACACAAATCGACCAACTGCTGGTCAAGCAAAAAGTAGAACTACTAGAAGGTGACTGAAGCCTTTGAAACTACGGTTTAGTTAAGCGCAATGTTTACGAGACTTTGTAAGTAAATATCTAAATGTTTATTTATTAGTCAGTAGTTTACTGACAAGCAGACTATGCATGCACTTTTTTTGGCGACGCCTCAGGGGCGGAGGCATTTGTGTAAGTACTACGATCGCTTTGAAAGAATTTCAAAAATTGCACGAATGCATTCCCTAGGGAATTGGTTTTGAGGTAGCCTCCGGCCCTGTGGTCATCGGAAAAAGCAGGAAAGGCCTATGTTACCATGCATGCAAAAGGCACATTTTCAGGCAAACTGTGGCTTTTTGCACACAGAATGTTAATGATTGTCTTTATTGATATTTCAAATATGTTTTCTTCTATCAAGAGAGAACAAATTTCTTGCTCAGGAGCAGCATATTCAAGCTTATAATACTTCAAATATGTTTTTAGTTTCAACTATATGATGCTGGTCGTTTTTTTTATAACTTTACTGTGTGACACATGTAGTGTAACAGTGATGTTTTGTGTAAGAAATTTTATTCACTTGTGTGTTTTCTATCATGTATGTTTGTGTCAGTCTTGCTTTTTATTTAAATTTTGTTTCAAGAAGATAAGAATATCAAAAGTAAGATACAAGAAGATATTTGAAGGAGATGACAATCGAACGCTAATAGGAAAGAAAAATATAATAACGAATTTTGAAATTGAATCGTCCACAGAATGGCATAACTAGTTGATTATCACTCCACACATGCAGTGTTCTCGGACATCGAGACCAAAAACAAATACGTCATCAAGAACTCCATGGGACAGCAGGTGTACTACGCGTACGAAGGTGAGATCAAGTGATTCATGTCCTGTATAGCATAAAGCTCAAGAAAGTTAAGATCAGTTAATATAAATTAAGTGCGGATACCTTGAAAAAGAGCAGACGGCTGGAGTTCGAAAGACAGTGGTTTGCGCTTTGACGTCCCCATACCATTCTTCAGAATGTCATTGATGTCACCATGGAGGTGCAAAATAATGTAAATTCCATGTGTATATTTGAAATTGTTGGTATGATAACGGTGGTTTCTCAGCGATGAACAGTTAATCGTCTTCTTCAGATTCCAGTTTCTGCACGCGGCTGTGTTGCGGGAAGCGCCGCGGATTCCGGATGGTAGTAGTGGACAACGACAAGAAGGTACATTTCATTTCCTTTCATTTTAAATAACGGTAGACACACCCGGGCTAACTTTGTTTTCATTCAATCACCGGTAAATGGTCTGATCACAACAGAGTGCACGCGTCACAAACTATTAACATTAGGTTAATCCTCGACTTTTTTTTCTGTTGTCTCCTTTCGCCGTCAGGAAGTAATCCGTGTGAAGAGGAAGTTTAAGTGCTGCGGAGGGATCGCCTGCTGTGCCAACCTGGGGTGCGCCGCCCACGAGGTCAAGGTGCAAGCCCCGCCTGGAACGACCATCGGTTATGCACGACAACAGTGAGGCATTTACAGAGGAATAAATCTACATTTAGATGTTAGAAGGGAAGAAGATAACGTTTCCCGTGTGTGAGAAAAAAACAGGGTGACGGAAAATGTTACGATCTCTCCTAGCGCTCTCGGGATTTGAACCCGGGAAATATTAAGAAAAGTTTGATAACGACGGTATCGCGGACCATGAGACGGTGCTGACTTGTATATTCCCCTCCCCAGATGTACGTGTTGGAAGCCCCACTACTCCGTGCGTGACGCGGACCATGAGACGGTGTTTGACGTGAAAGGCCCGTGCTGTATCTGGAGCGGCGCCTGCTACAGATGTGATACAGACTTCAAGGTGACGTCACATGCGTCAAACGAGTAGTGTCGAACTTCCGTAAAATTTTGTCTGATGAATTCAAAGCCTCGTTGTCTACTGACACACTAAAATGTTTCAATGCACCTGAAATGTACCGTATGAATTTTGAATTTAGGTTTACAGCCCGGACGGCCACACAGTGGTGGGGAAAGTCAGCAGGCAACACGCCGGCTTTATCAAGGAGGCCTTCAGCGATGCCACCAACATGAGCGTCACGTGTAAGTACATACCGTGTACACTAGGGAGACGACAACTTTGTGGTCTCAAACAACGTTTCCAGCCGTCATGATAAATTCTATTTAGTGCAATAGGAACGACTGCGGGGAAAATAACTGCGTAATAATGAATGGATAGCGTTCAGCACCAAGGACGGGTCTCAAGTTGATAGAACGTAAAAGACAAGTATTTTATTTGCATCTGGCTGCTTTTTAGTATCAGGGAAAGACGTATAACTGTGTAGATGTGAATGTTGTTTGGTGTGTCTGTTTTGAAAAGAAAACGGAGGGTATTTTCCTCGGTTTTCAGCATTTATATTCTCATTTTCCTATCCCTACAGTTCCGATGGACTTGGACGTGAAAATGAAAGCGACCATGCTGGGGTTGGCTTTTCTAATCGTAAGTTGTCAGAAATTCAGTGCGTATAAAGGAAGGATCGTTCTAGTGTGGTGTGCCTTTTCTGTATTGTTCTATTCTTTATAATAAAAAGCGAGGCCAGTACGTACACGGTTCGATAGCGTACCACGTGAGGTCATTCACCAGTATACATCATAAGATTTTTACATTTAGTGAAAAGGGGGCAACGTACCCATTTAGTTTCATTGTCGGAAAGCACAGAAATAGAATGGACGATTGGTACTTTTCACTGCACAACTCAGTGTTTTGTTTGTTATTTCTTTGCAGGATTTCATGTATTTTGAGGACCAGCACCAAGATTCAGACTAGGAGCATCAAACGATGCCATATTGTCAGACGATCAGACGACTTAGCTGAGACAATATGGCGCTGGATTAATGATGACGTCGTTAGACGCGTTATATCTCACTACCAAATATGGAGGCATACTCTCCCAACGTTCAGCATATTCTACAGCGTTTTCAATCTTACGCCAACTCTTGCCTTATTTCTTTTAAACGGCCAAACTAAGCTAACATTTTCATACAAAGCTTGACAAAGCTTGTTTTCTTCGTTATCTATAACGTATTTCGTCTTAGATTGTTCAACATATGACAAGATGGTACAACAAGGTTTGACAATGTTTTGTGGTTCATTGTCAATGCCCACATAGTATCAATCACATATAAACATTTTCTTTCGCGCTGCTATAATTTTATATCCAACACTGCTTTTCTATGAAGTATTTTCTAAAGCACGATATCTTGACTAACAGTGATTTTAGTTTACAGTAGCGTCAGAGGTCTGCTCACTACATATTGTACGTACTAAAGTCAGGCAGCTAGGGGGCTGTGTATCTGAACATTGGAACCCGAGACCAACGCCTTTTCTAGAAAAGTAACATGTTCAGAAAGTGTTCATCAAATGGACTCATGTACAAATACTAGTAGATTTGGAACGTGTAGTTTTTCAACTTTAATCATGGCATTAATTATACTCTAAGGCGAAGGAGCTGTTAACAGTGCCAACCTACTGTTATCATTTGTACGAACTTTCATCTAAGTTATTCTTGTATTTATCACAAGCAAGAATCTCTACTTCAACACTTCTCAAAAACAGAACCAACATATCATATACTAATTTTCATATATGCAGATTTATTCACGAACATGAATAATACTACAGATGTACTACGCATTCATAACTTGGAACATTTGAAGCGAATTTTAAGAAATTTTACTGGCATTTTGATACTTTTATTGTCTTTTTTATATCTACAATGTAGTTTGTACTTTGGAATTAAACAATACAAGATTGGAGTGACGTCCTTACTGTGTTCTGTTGCATTGCTGCCGACGTTCCGATCATTCGTGAACGTATCACACAAACCATCATCGGCACCTGTCAGTGGGGACCTCTAGCGATCTGATTTATTTTTGCTGCTGCCGGGCCTGGGCTTTCCTGCAATGATAACTTCCGCCGTTTGGTGACGCCTTTCTTGGACCGATTAACGCGCGGTAGGATATATTCCGAGCAATTAATTATTCATACCGTGAGGTTTGTAGGTTGTGAATCTTTAACAAATACATGTACGTTGATTTTGCGAGATATTACGCATAAAATCAAAAACAGTCACACACACTGTAGGCTATCTGTCATGATTCATATATTCGAAAGGTCCTCGTTTTTGTTAGGTGGATGGATACACCATGTCGGGCTGCGCTGTTCGGTCCTTTGTGCCATATCCGTTGTTGACCCAAGCTGGGCGAACTCGTCCCGAACTCAAACACAATTTTGCTGCAGCGTCTACGGCCCGCCAACGTCTAATACGTGCTTGAATAACTACGTTGTAACTCTCTGCAGTAGGTGAGTACTTCGCATATTTACCTTGTACTGTAACAGGCTGTGTTTTGGTGGCCTTGGTGACAGCACCTGTTGTGAAGTGATGCAGAAAATGGGGACACAATCTGCCTCAAGTACCCCTCCTCCTGGGCCCTTTAGAGTCACGTTGAGGAGAGAGTTTTAAACAGTCAGACTATAAGGTTTCTACATAGTCTGAAATACCTTTCTGAACGCTAAATAGCTTTAAACTTGAACATGACTAGCATATGTTAGCCGTTACAGGCTTGACGTTTCTGTGGTTGCAGATCTGTACAGGTTTATTGTTGCAAATTGGCGACTGTAAACAGAGACGGCGGCTTGTGTAAATAAACAGTGTAAGTAATGACGTGAGTTCAGATGACTTATACGCCATGATTACGGTTTAAGTGCTGGATTATTGTCCAGTTTGAAACATGATTGATGGCGGCGTAATGCTGGACCGGTTCTATGGACTGCTACATTTCACTTCCGGGTTTTCACTTCCGGGTTCACCGGACTTAGATTTTGTCAGCACAGGCTGAAGGAAAAACTGGCCACAAACGAGAAAGAAACATTGTTTGGTCCATACCCATATTTACCTCATCAGTAGAGGGTTATCTACATCTGTCACACTTTGAACACATGTACTTAGTTTCAGACATTTGAGATGTTGATGGTAATTTGGACTCTTAAATTTTTCTTGACGAGATATTGATGTATGTACCGTCTTTAGTCCATGTTTACATGCTGCAATGTTTGTTCCCAGATTTTAACAACACCATGGCCGGTGTACAAGTGGTTCCTGAGTGCACAACGTGTCCAGAAACAACCCAACTTTCCTCAAATGCACAGTCAGACACATCTGTGGACAGTGATCCAACCAGTAATGAGAAGTTCACCAACGCAAGCCACGCCACCAACGTACTGGAGGGCCTACAGCGGCTTCGTACAGACCACTGTCTGGTGGACGTGGTTCTCTGTGCGGGAAACCGGGAGTTCCCGTGCCACCGTGCCATTCTGTCGTGCTGCAGCGGGTACTTCCAGGCCATGTTCACCAACGGACTCAAGGAGACCAAACAGACGAAGGTGGTCATCAAAAACATGAACCCCTCAATCCTAGAATCCATCCTGAGTTACATCTACTCCTCAGAACTGGTCATCAACAAGACTAATGTACAGCAGCTGCTGGAGGCTGCTAACCTGATGCAGCTCACACCCATAGTGGAGGCGTGTGCCAAGTACCTCGGGAAGATGTTAGAAACAGGAAACTGTCTCGGGATCCATCGTTTTGCCTCAGCGCTGTGCTGTACGGAGCTCGCAGAGAAAGCACAGGACTTTGTACTGGAACACTTTCAGGAAGTCTGTCAAATGGAGGAGTTTTCTCAGCTGGAAGCAGGTGAGCTGGCACATTACATGTCTGACAACAGGCTGAACGTGAGTAAAGAGGAGCTGGTATATGAAGCACTGTTACGGTGGGTGCAGTGCGATAAAAAGTCCCGCGGGCCGCAGCTGAAAGACCTGCTTCCACAAATCAGGTTCCCTCTGATGGATCCAGTGTCAGTCGTCAGAAATGTGCGCAGGAACGAGTTAGTGAATAAAACAGAAGGGTTCGAGAGTCTGATGGAGGAGGCAACCATCTATCACCTGTCCCCCGAGGAGGTTTCTTCCACGCGGACAGTTCACCGGGAAAGGTCGGGCATCACGCAGGTTCTCGTTGTTGGAGGAGGCGTGACCCACGTGGAAAATGAAGAAGACGTATCGACCAATCACATCAACTGTTTCGACCCCAAAGAACAGTTGTGGGATAACGACCTGTTAGACCTCGCCATCGATTTCCGTAACTCTGTCGAGTATGCGGCAGTCACATTACACAACAACATCATCGTGTCAGGGGGCAGCTGGAAAGGCTCAGCAGTCTGGGAGCTTGACACAAAGCTCAGCACATGGCGTAAGCTGTCTTCTTTGGCCCAGCGTAGAAGCAGACACAAGATGGCAGTTCTCAATGGAAAAGTGTACGCTGTTGGGGGTTACGACAGCTCGAAAGATGATGGCTGCAAGTATTTAGACAGTGTCGAGGTCTATGATCCCAACAGAAATGAGTGGATGGAAGGGAAGCAATTGCTCAATCCAGTATCGTCCTTTGCCATTGCAAGTTGTGATGGAAAACTGTACGTCATAGGCGGGAAGGGGCAGACTGGCGTGTGCAGTCCTCAAGTCCAGTGCTATGTCTCCGACAAAAACTGCTGGGAAACCAGAGCACCGATGCCCAGGAAGGGGGAGTGCATCAACGCTGCTCTACTTAACTCTCTCATCTATGTAGTAGGTGGGAAGCTGCCGGCCATCTTGTGCTATGACCCAAAGGCGGACACGTGGATCTCGCTAGCGGAGAGGCTCACCCTGTGGGAGTTCTGCGGTATTGCAGCGTGTAACGGGAAGTTGTACATCACAGGGGGGTCGGACCGCGAGCAGAGATCTACAGAGGAGGCAGACCAGAGCCTGGACACGGTGCAGTGTTACGACCCAGGCACCAACACTCTCACCTTCTCCCTACCACTACCTGAAGCTGTCAACTGCCACTTCTCAGTTACAATACTGAAATACAAGAAAGCTTAAAGCTGCTTCCTACACAGATACAACTAGTTGCCATATGCTGCAATAGATACCTATAGACTATTATACATGTATAGTCAAAGTCAGGAATTCTAAGATTGACTCATTCCCCACTTCGTCCAGCTAAATTTTTTAATTTGAAATATCATGTAATTCAGATAGATTCATCTTCCAGGCCTTTTAGCCTCATTCTATGTAATAATTGCTATTATAAGGACATTGGCTAAATGTCTATTAGAGCTGCTAGTAAGGGAAGTTACAATTATAGTATGCCTTTCACATAGATATATATGTACCGGGTAACTGTTATAATAAGACTTTCAGGTAAATGTTAAAACTGTCTGTAATCCAAAGCTGAACTAATAATATGTATAAAATGCTATGGTGTATTGCCTTACAATAAGGGCATGTTTCAAGTTTAAATGGATTTTAAAACTAGTACATTATTTCTTCCTGAATACATCATGCATATTTGCTTGTAATAATGTTAATTCAACTATGCAGTATGACATGAAATAGAATGTCACTTTTCTCAATTTTTTTTTGTGTATTCGTGTTACAATTTTTTTCCTTTTCTTTTGTAGTGATATTGGCGTCAATTAAGGGAAATATGATATTTGCAATGAAGAAGTGAGAGTGCAAGATATTCATGGAGGTGGTTTTAAATGTTTTAGCATACAATAGCAAGTTTATGGTTTTGTTCACAACTGTTTTTTTTTTCATATGCATTTTTTCCAACATTGTACTGTATTCAACCAAAGAAAGCCATGCAACAATTGCAGTGTTGGTAGAGGAGTGCAATGGTTGGAGAGAATACAGTAGACAATGGGTGGTCTTGCTTTTTAAATGTGAAATGTTGTTTTATGTTTTTGGCTTTGTTGCAATAAAATACTCTGGCACACTATGTATCATCAGATGTTGTGTTATGTGTGATCTCTCTTCTATTCATTACTTACTTCTATTCTACAGCACTAAATAAAGGTAGACACATGACTAAATACAGGTATGGCTTTTCTTTTGCTTTGAATCCCATCATTGCATGTCATGTACAGAGTATGAGCTTTTTACAGTAGGAAACTTAGTGCTGTAGAAACACAACTGGTATTGAAAAAAAGATATTGTACACGTAAAAAAACAAGCAAAACACCAAGGAGAAATATAAGCTGCCAGTAGAAATAATCATCAGTTTGTATAGTATAAAGTATACACAACAATTCATGAAAATGAGTAATTTTTGCTAGAAAAGAGGGAACTCAGTACTTGCACATTTTCTAAGTGTCTGAAAGAGCATCTCTAAGACAGGCCACTCAAGATGAGTAATATTTCTGAAGATTCCCTGGTCCATTCACAGTACGTGGTGTGTATGCTGTCAACACCTCCCAATGCTGGATTCATTCATATTAAATCTAAACAGTAAACACACTGATTAATTGGGTAGAATGTTTGCTATAAAAACAGTGAAACCAACCCAGCTGCTAAAAGAACCATATGTTTTGAAGAGAGCATTTTAGGATACCGAAAATTCACACAAAAATACTGCTTTGAATCTAACACTGTCATATTTATGCATCATAGAAATGCCAGCACCTGTGCCTATTAAAGAATCAAATGTTCTACTTGTATATTGCTTAGATATTCTGATAGCAAGTGGACAGTTTTATCCACCAGGTGATGGCCACTATGAATAAGCAATGTAACATGTACCTTATTGTACAACTTTTTTGCTGTTTTAGTAGCACATGAGGTAAAATAACAAACTTGTGATGTATTGATCCCAGCTTCAGAATCAGACACTCACTGATTTTATTATAGCCTTCAAATCTACTGTTTGCAAGTAAGGCCACACCAATTTAATTTGTTGGTTCTCGGATTCGCCTCTTCATTTTTTTCTGATTTGCAAAAAAAAAAAAAAAAAGATTCTGGTTCTGAATCAACTCAAATATGCTCATATTTTGCCACCATCAGTTGGGAAATTCCTTTTCTTCCTAGTTGTTACAGTTTTTTGCCATCTATCAATGCAGTGGTTTGATTAAAAGTTCAAAATTTATACTTTAAATTTTAACCCAGCCTTTTTTGTTGACTTCATGGCTCATATTGTAGCATTTGGGGCTATAATAGAATGCCTAGACCTGTTTTTATTTTTTTTTTTTTTCGCCCTGTCGCTTCATATTTTTTCGGAAAAAATCCGAGAACCAACAAATTAAATTGGTGTGGCCTAAACATCTAACAAACAAGAAACAATAGATCTCAGTCCTTTCAAGGATTACTAGTCTGTGTTCCTTTTGATGACCAAATGGCTTCAACTCTTTTGTCATGGGCAAAAACAGTACCATGCAAATACTAACACCACAAGTCCAGAAAGGATGCTTTTCAATACTTCTGCTCAATTCTTTTCCTGATAATTTTATCTTGGTCTGACTATGCTCACATTCTTCTATAGGTATAATTCCTCCACAAAGGAAGTAGAAAACACTGCTGTAGTTTTAACGTGCTACTCCATATTTACACAGGTAACACCTGTTTGTTTTGTTATAGCGTGGGCCCAGGTTGGCGTGCTGATGAGAAGCCGAGTCCCACGCCCTTCTGTGTGTGCGTCGTGCCGCGTGCAAACTCGTACTGCGCCTCCAGCGTACGGAACAGCTTCTCCTGCTCCTGCTGAATGTCTGGTCCGTCCCCAGGTGCCTAAAAACAAATCAGCAATATCTAACTCAACATCCACTGACAACTACAGTCAACATTACCTATGTTGGCCACTTGATGTACTAAAAATACATGTACGGCCATTTGGCTTTCATAAGAGTCACAGAAAATGGCCAGCAAGCCAAAATGTCACCAATACAGGTGGCAAATCTCTCTGTACTTTAAGAAAAGTCTAGAATTCTTGGACTACATTTTAGATCTAAAATGTTCATCACATACAAGAATGTACTCCTTGATCTACTTTGGAGAAAATCAGAAGGACTCACCTGACTGGCTCCACTGCCAGAGGCCTCTCCATGGATCCCCATCAGTCGGCGGAACTTTGCCTGTGTGGCCTCGTCGTGGAACTTGGTTTTGTCCCATACAGTGCCCGCAGGAGCATCACCCTGAGATATGGATACAGGGAAGACACTCTTTAACATGTCTCAAATTACAAATGGATCATTACGGAAATGAACTTATTGTAGTAAAGTTGAAAACACCCAACTATCTACAACTCTACTTGATGTTGTTGAAATATTTTTACAAAATACATAACATAACAATATCAATAGCAGTTAACAGATAATAAACATCTGTAAGCCTACCTCTTTCTTTTCTTTCTTGCCAGCCCAGAGCAGTTTTCTTTTCTGCATCTGCTCTGCATATTTCATGGGGTTCACAGCAGTTGGGTTATAGTAACTTGGCACCTGTCAACAGAACAGAACATTGGTTACATTTTGCAAACTGATGATCAGAAACAAACCATTTCATATGGAATTTTGTTTGTTAAAAAAATGTTTACAGCAGGAAGATCATGTAAGTGAATACACTCTAGCCAGGTGTAGTATATGTGCACAGTATGAGGTTTTCACCTGTATGCCTGTTTCAGCTGCTACCTTCATCTGCATGGCCCTGGCAGCTGCACACACGGCCTCCTGGGGCGTCACCTGCTGTCCTGCCAGCAGAGGGTTCACTCCCACAATGGAGGGGGGTACACCTGCTGCAGCTACAACACATACACATTCCTTTGAAACATGACAAAATAAGTCATAACAACAAATAGTAGGCCTGATGAAGAGGCATAAGAATTTCTTAGAATTATGCCAAGTTTTAGGTAGGCTTTTCTTTGCATATTGTTACGAAATATTATGGGGGGCGACACAAATTATCTGGTACGTATGACCCGCTACTACGGTCACGTGTTTCCGACGTCCCATTTCAAGAGTAGTCGGGTCCATTCCGTGAACAAGGTTGATGGAATCAGCCGAAACTTTGGGCAAGTCCCAATTCATTCCAGTGTTGGCAGATTAAGTTAAGTCCTTATTTCATATTCATGTATCTGTTGATATGGGTCAGTTTTGTGCCTGAATGTAACAAATAAATAAATAAAATATCTTGACATGTTTCCACACTGTCCTACCTTCCCCACTCTCCAGTTTAGCCTCCATCTCAGCCTTCTCCCGTTCTGCCTTCTCCTGCTGTTTTTTCTTGGCTCGCTCCAGCCTCCTGCGGAGCGCGTCCTGTGCGTCCAGGGCGGGGTCACCAGTTGGACTGGCGCTGCCGGACGAGGAACGTGACCTGTGACCCGGGCTGCGACGCCGACCACGCCCACGTCCCCGCATACCACGGCCACGCATACCTCTGTGGGGACTGAACATACACATTGTATACACATGTAAGTATGTAATTAACCTGTAAGTGTGTGACTTAATGTGAACTTTTGCAAAAGGACTACTGTAGTTCCTGATTTTGCATGGTACTTTTATGTTCACGGTTTTTGAGGTCACTTCTGTACTTCTGAACTTTTCATTATTGTGAGCATATAATTTGACGACTTTCTTTTTTTTCTGCACCTACATGTACCACCAACATATAGTTCCATGAACCCCTCCCAAACCATGATGTTAGAACCAACCTTCTCCTCCGTGGTGGAGACCTCCGATGATCTCTCCTGGATACAGGTGACCTTGAATGACGTCTCCTGGGAGATCTTGACCTCTTGCGTGCATATGGTGAGTGTGACCTTGACCTTCTACGGGGAGATCTGGACTGCTTGCGAGGTGATCTGGATTGCCGACGTGGTGATCTCGACTGCTTTCTGGGTGATCTGGACCTTGATTTTGAACCCCTGTGGTGAGGTGACTTGGATCTGGCTGGGCTGAGTGATCTGGATCTGGATCTTGGATGTTTTTTTGATCCTGATTTTGATCTATGAGGAGAGGGAGATCTCGACGACGAATGCTTCCTCTCTGGAGATAGTGACTTTGAACGTCTCCGTGCCTCTCTACAGATCAGAGGAACACAGAGAAAATGTTAGATGTTTTATCAAGTGTTTGACTCAAAATCATACAACTGGTACGGCAATTCTCTCTATGACAAAACTGATAATTTTGATGTAAAGCAGGGACTTGGTAACATACAAAGTGCAAATAAAAGAAGGCCTGAACAAACCTGGGAGGTGACCTTGAACGTGACCTCCGTCGTCTCCTGTCCGGTGACCTTCGCGAGTCCCTCCTGTCCTTGGACTTGCCCTTCTCCCAGTCTCTGGATGACCTGCGGACAGGACTGTCCCGTGACCCTCGCGCCCTGTCACGGGAACGCCGTCTCCTGTCCGGGGATTTCAGTCTGTGCCTCCCTTCAGGAGACCCCTTACTCCTGTGTGCCTTCTTCTTGGGCGATCTTGACCTCTTACGCTTTGGAGAAGGGCTCCTTGATGACCTTGAACCCTTATATCCCTTCCTGGGCGAGAGAGACCTTCTGGGCGATGGTGTCTGTGATGTCCTTGACCTTCTTGGCGACCTTGAAACTTTAGGTGAACTCCTTGGTGATCTTGATCTTTTAGGTGACCTTGACATCTTGGATTTACTAGGAGACTTGGAGTATCTTGAGTTGTTTTTGTTGTGGGACTTTTCTCGCTGGTCCACAGGTGAGGGAGACTTCCGGGGACTCCGACTTGCCGACCGCGATGACTCCCGTCGTCTTCTCGGAGATGGGCTACGATTGGATGGAGGGGATGCGCCCGAGAGACGTCTGTCTGATACGGACTTGTCCTGTTTTGGGAAGAAGTGGCGTCTTACAAGGGATAATGTAACAAAACAAAGTTAGTATCAAGAAGTGGCACAGTTGTCCATCTGGAAGAGAAACAGACTAGAGGAAAGGTTGAAGATTCTTTCTTTTTATCTGCACAGGTAACAACTCATTTCTTTGTTTGTTGCATTCTATTTTTCCATTTTCAAACCAATAGGTAGTCTATTGCTTGGCCCAAGCTTTGCACCAGAAACTGTAGAGTTTTAGATATCAAATTATAAAACTTTAAAAATTATAATATATTTTTCTCAAAATAAGCATTATTTTGACTTAGTAACATCCTGATACCAAAATTGTTGAAAATGTTAAATTCCTTTGTATTCATGCATATCTACATAGCCAATGTGTATATAATAATGTTTTTCTCTTGAAAACCAGCCAAAGATTAAATTAAATATGAAAATGATTACAGCAACTGGTTACCAAAGCAATAATTGTCTTGGTCTCTTATTGTGAATCTAACAAAAGGTAGACTGTAGACTTTAAATGACATAGACACACAAAATACGACAGAGAAGAGATACTCTTCCATACATAAGAAGACTGAGGCTGAGATGTGTACAGACACCAAGCTGCTATTTACCTGTAGCGGCCACCGGTCTAACAAGAACGGCCGGATGCTTTTGTCCCGACCAGCTTCACTCGGAGTACTGGGCTCGCCGAGGCATGGTTTAAGCTGGTGCATAGTTCATCAATTATAGAGGTGTTATTATGTGTTTTTACATCTCTTCCACTGTATGACAGTAGACTATGCTTCAGTGCTCCTTCAGAGTGTCTATCTAAAGATGCTAACTGTTCTTATATGCAACACTCACCTCCAAAATTTGGATAAAATCATACCTTAAACTCAAGTTCTCTCATTAGCATACACATACAAAAATGCTGAAAATACAGACTTAAGTACCAGAGTTGAGCTGTAACCTCTATCTACATGTGGAAAACAAAATATTTGCATCTCTTGCATGAGAAGCTCACAGATTATTACAATGTATGGTTTTCCATGTAGATAGAGGTCCAGTCAATCCTGGAACAAGTTGGAGACATCTGAGAACGCCTATACTGTGTTACAAGTTCTCATGCATACGTAACTGTAAACTATCACAGTTCTCCACTGCCATGGAAAAAATCCTGTGGGGAAAAAAGTTGTGAATTTTCCTGGACTAATTCTTGTTGACATAACAACTTGAGAAGATAAAAAAATAACTGCAATCTGATAAACAAAGCACACACACATTCCTAGGACAGAAATACTACAAGTACGTGACAAACCACAATAGAGCGCTGTCAGCATTTGGGTCAAATATGACTTTGGTGGGACCGGATATATCAATAGGGAGCTTGAAACTAAGTATTTTCAGTGACATCATAATCACTGCTCTCCCTAAGGCCAATTTTTCTTCGTGCAGGCAACCCTGTATTACTGTGGAATCAAAATCAATACATCAATACAACAGCATGCTTGGACGTTAGTTTCAAACCCCCAAACTTAAGTGGCATGACTTTACCTCTGGGCCTTGCTGTAGGTCAGACATCTCGGCCTGCAAACCACTAGAACTGGCAGCTGGCTGCTGGCCTTCCCTTGTACGTTGGGGAAGATCTTCTTGTTGCTGCATCCTCACAATAGGCACCTGTAAAATAGAACAGGCTTTTAAAATATCACTTCTAGGATATCTGCTGAATATGAAACAAAAACACTATGTGCATTTTGCTTGTAAAGCCCCTTTCACATGTGTCACATGACAATTAAGACAAAATATTCACTTAAGCATGCTTTAAGTACAAAAGTATATTAGCAAACTGTACATACATCATTACATGTATTCTTAGCAAGTTCCTTCCTAACATTTCAAGCCATCTCTCTCAAAGCTGTATTCATATTCATACTCATACTATAGTCATAGCCTCTGAAAAATTAATAAAGGAAGTTCTATAGGACTCATAAGTAAAGGGTGATCAAATGATTGCTCCTTTGTGCAAAGGGGATAGCTACTGCAGACGACTCTTTTCATGAGGTCAGCAGAGTTGACATTGTCCTTGACATCCTTTGCATGGTAATATTAAACCTTTGCCTACATGAGAAGACTAGGTCAAGGATTCATTTTATTTCATCATGGATGGTATGCATGACATTGCATGGAATGGGTGGTATGCATATTGCGTCAATCCAGATTGGACTGGCACCAAAAATTTCTCTGGAACAGATATTAGCTTGGAGAGACAATCAACATACATGTATTGTGGAGGCAATGTCCGTACGGTACCAGACATAATTTGATGAAATGGTAACACCCAGTCAATCATCCTGAAAATTACAGGACTTCATCAAGTCCACAGGCACATCTGTGTGTAATTGAACAGAGTACAGATGATTGGGTTTCCAGATGAAAGTAAAACCCTGCATACTAATGATAGCAAAGATAGGGCTGAGTAGATTCTGTTACAGGAAAGCTGTTCGTCAGTACATCTGGGAAGATAGATACTGCAATTAATCAGATCTGATGACTGCAGTGCAAAAGATGTTGCGGAGGAAATTATAAATCCACCAATACACTAAGTTATGTATAATGTCCTTGGTTATATACTGTCTGTTAAATCTCATGGGGATCACTAGTAATTTTGCATTGGGGAAGGGGGAAAGACTTGGTCGCAGTGAAATAACCATAGTGGGGCAATGCAAAACAATATACATGTTCACATCACCAACGAGTAACGTTAATGTTACATGTAAATTTGAACTATATGCTGACACTAATTTCGAACGTTGAAATAAAATGCATCTCTACAATGAAGTTGAATATGGTATGATTTTCCACGAGAAAAGGAACATTTTACAATACAATTTTTTGTCAACAAAATTTCTCTCTCACTAATCATGAAGCTCAAGATGGGGTAGGTGAAAATTAGCATGCAAAATGCCTTGATTATGCAATCCTTGTGAGCTCAACTTTTTTTTAAATTTCAGTAAGAAAGTACTAATTACACTGATGGAATCTCATTAAATTTTCAGAAACCTCAAACAACATTGCAAACATGTACAAGTGGGGGTGCCCCGCCATATTTGGCAAGAAATGTTGTTGTCCGTCGGCTGCCGTCGAGTGCTACACACAAAACAATAAAATATCGACAAAATCACATTTTTCTGCAACAGATTTTGTCAGAAAGCATACAATGAAGTATATTATGTGCATCTCACCTGTTTTTGTAATGGGAAAGGGCGAGGTTTGTCGGTGAATGCTGAATCATTGGACTCACTGCCTTCACTGTCGTACCCAGCCAAGGCGTCCATCTTGAATGTGTAGGTTGGTGTTTGGGGACAGTACGTTTTATCTTCATGGTGAAATCGCAAAAATTAACATCTTTCAAATAGACTTTTTGTATATTAAAAAAAACCTACATATTCAAATATTTTCTTCGTCGTCGTACAGCACAGTGGTGTGATTTGAACTCTTACTCAACTATTCATGTGTATCTATATGAAGCCTTGGTGCATTAATGATTTGTCCCTAGAATTAAGCTCAATCTCGTTTACTCTCACGATAGCTGCTTTTGTACGAGACTTGAGAGTCAAAATGGCTGCGCCCTTGGTTGGAAAAACGTTTCTGAGGACTTTCTTTGTTCTATCAAGAAGATCTTTACACTTACAACAGGTATTAACTCTTCCCCAAATGTCTCAATAAATTTTCAATATCGTGTACAGTCGGTTTCATTTTGTGACAACGTTGGGTTCTTGAAAGAAGTGTGGATATGTTTTATTGGGGAGGGGGGTAGGCTGACACTCAATTATAAGCATGGTTTGTGTTTTTGAGCAAATTATGTTGTAATCATATTCTTTTGTTTTACAAATACGATATGATTGTTTTTGGAGCAGGCAACAGTATGTACCGGTAGTAGAGCCTACAGTGAAGGAGGTGGACTTCTGTCCAGTCTGTTTGGAGGTTCAGGTGACAAGGAGCTGGCAGCAGCTGAACAGGAGACCCAAGACTTGCTGGCACAGAGGTAATCTGATCTACCCAGTGGCTGTTACTCAATTGTCAGATTTAATCCTATGATACATGCACCCTATTGATATTACCCATGCAAATTAGCTTTATTTGCATAACACACTATTTTTGCACAATAAATGTAAGCTGCATAAACTTGATAAAGATCAGGTTGATCCACACAGCTGTTCTGTACTTTTTAGATACTGAGAGTTTCTGTAAAGTTTAGAAATACTTCAATTGTCTCTGTTTTTTTCAGACCCACACGAAAGTCCAGAGCATACCAGCCACCACCAGACCTACAGCAGAGACTAGAAGGCATGGCAGCAGAGATCAGGGGAGGACCAACAGATAAATGGAGGAACGTCAGTGTTGAAAACATCAGCACCAAATTCCAGGTAACGTTACATGTATAATTCTTCAAAGACATTTAATGTCTAGTTTGATATGGAAGTCATCATTAGAGTGGCTTTGGAGTCATTTGTAATTTTGCGAGATATATTCAGGGCCTGGCTTTGGCTTGGCATTGTTAGATTTCAAGATAGATTTGTGGACTGTTTCGTCTTAATGTCTTCTTGATCTATTTTTCTTTACAGGTTTTGTCAAGGTGCTACAAGGAGTTTGGACATGAAGTTCCAAGTAATGAGCTGGCAAATATGAAAACCTTCCAAGATGTGCTGGACTTTTACAAGACAGCTGTAGTAGACGCTGATGTTTACAATCAGCTGATTGAAAAAGACCTTCCTCCAAACGTCAATATCCAATGGGATGCCTATGATCATTTGGTAAAGAAGAATTCATAGCTGAAGGAAGGGATCTATACAGAAATATTTTCTTGTATAGAAAAAAGCAGTGCTTTGTGGTAAACATTTTTTTGTTTAGCTATACATTGTTTCTGTAATCAACTAGAAAAAATATAAAGATTATTGTCTGAATAAAGATCATCAGAATTCTTGATGACTTGTTATTTGTCTTTATATCTATCCTGCATCCAAACATTATTTGGCACTATTGAATGCTTTATTGTCTCATTCTATGTCAAATAAATAGTTTTAGGAGTCTTGAATCTTCATTTTCTTCGGTTTCCATCAACTATCAACAGAGGACACATACTGCTTGAGAATAATACATTTACTTTTGATTGTTCAAATACAAAGTGGGTACAAAATCAAAATATCACAAGGCAAGATATTAAGGATCTTGAATATACAAATGTAGATATTATGTGCATTATCACAGATGTGTGGCTTTGAAACCATTGTAATATATGTAGCTAATACGGTAATCTCAATAAAAATGAAAACCAGCAGAGTGGTAATGACTTATATGAACAACATTGAACAGCAAGCAATATACAATACAGGCATATCGAAAGGCTTGCAACAACATACTTGATACCATGATAACCAAAATGTTGGAGACTCACTGCATATACAGAGTTACAAAATTCTCTATACTTCAGTACTACATAATGAAAATACTGTATATTCCTTTTCATACTTGAGAAAAGTCATTACATCTTGCTTGAGGTAAAGCACATTCATTAAAATATAGAATAATTTATGTACATTGGGAATGTTCACATTTGATGTTGAGAAGTAAACATGGTTGAACATGCCACAACAAGGGATCATATGACACTAACACTTTTGAAACGGAATGTTATCAATGGGACATCTTACAAACCATACAATGGAAACATCAGTATTGACTTAAGTTGGAAACATCAGTATTGACTTAAGTTCATGTGGAATAAAAGAGAAATAAACATCTATAATATTGGTAGAGCCTAAGGGAGATTAATATTACTGGTTCCAAGCTATGCATACAGTATACTAAATAACTATAACATTTAACAGTGAAAGAAGGTGTTGCCTAAAAAGTAAACAAAATTTCCATAAAAATTCTATGAATATGATCAAATGTGGCATCTGAGTGTACTTTGGCACCAATGTGCAATTTAGAAAGGGACTTTTAAATACATGCAATGTTATAAACAAATTATCAAAAAGCATGATGAAGTGGCAACAAAAAGCCGACACTTTTTTAGTTTGTGATCTTATGTCTGTCTCTGAATATTGCCTCTAATTTCTTATAGATTTTTTGCATTGCCATCAGCTATCAATTCTGAGTTTTCCTATAACTAGTACAAGAGCTTTGCTGTGTTTTTCTTTGAAAAATTCATCCAACTAGAAGAAAAAGATGGAGAAAAAGATGACATCATTGAAAAATTTCTCTACATCTGTGAGTATGATGGTCAATTTTGTCTGTAAAATTGTTGTCCTCATATTTCTCCATTTTCTTGTGTTCCTTCTTCTTCAGCCTCACCCTCTTCTGTCATCTGTAGAAGACAAGTATTATTTATTTCCAAACAGCAACAAATCAACATTGATTCCTTGTGTCTGAACATAAGGACATCTCAATTAGCAAAGAATCCATGGAAAGTTGCAAACCATTGAAAGCATCTGTGGAAAAAAAAATGAGGAAGCTGCATCTCAGTTGAACCAATAGCTGCTACGACATGCAGGCTACAACAAGGTTTTTTCACTAGAGCAACTAACAAAGTGCTACAGACACTACATCTACTATCCTGCACTCCAAACTGCCAAAAAAAAATATTTCAACAGGCACAACAGACACAGTTTGGAGCCCAGGTTTGTTAATAATCACAAAGTCAGACCCTAACCTCCACCTTAGTATGGGTGCTGCTCAGAGTGCGTGTGTCTGAAAAAACAAAGGAGACCACCATTCACCATTCAGATGCATGTCTGCATACAAACTTATCTGTCACACACTTAGTAACACAACCAGCTACAATCATGTTTTCATATTAGTAAAACATTCCAACAAAACAACACAGGGTGTACTCTTGCCATATGGCAAGTAGCCTCCCTCAAAGTAGTTGCACTGCACCACACTCACACACAGTTAACACAGGTAATACCTGTTTGCTTGTGTTAGGAGGGAGGGGCAGTGTGGTGTGCTCCTCTAGATTGGCAACCATCTGCCGAGACTCCTCTAACAGTCGGTGCAGCTTACTGGTTGGGGAGGCTGTTTCAAGCTACAGAAGGACCAATGAAAATCAAGCTTAGGAAACGCAGTAGAAAGAAACTGTATCAATTATGATAGCTGAACTTATGATTGTTCTACCAAAGGGCAACAAGACATAAAGAAATTTCACCACAAATAGTATTGAGGAGTAATAAAGATTGCACAGTTTCAGTTGAAAATTGATTCCAACTTACATCATTAATGCTGAGATTGTCGTTATCTGAGGATCTGTTCAGCGAGCTGTTCCCGTCCTGAGCGTTATCGTGGCCCGGGTTCCCTCGTGTCGGTGAGGGGAGCGGTCTGACTGGACTGCTGCGGGGAGACAGGGACGGTCTGTAGGGGGAGGAGCTTCTTCTGGGACCACTCAGCTCAAGTTCACCTCTATAAAAAACATCCAAAACAAAACAGGAACAAGGGTTTGAAAGATTGTATCAGATACGGGCCTCATGCATGCTTAGAAGAATATACAAATGGTGCATTGGCAGGTACAGTGTTTTGTTTGGTACATGAAATGTTTTGCTGTTTTATTTTACAATCCACAGCCTAACCTACCCTGAGCTCCTGAGCCTGTCTTTAGAGTTGTCCAGGTTGAGTTGTAACAAAGCAATGTCTCTCTGCTGCCGCTCATATATCTGAAATAAAAACAAACACATCAACTTCACAACAGTAAGAGTATAAAGATCTCATGCAAGTTTGAAAAACTACCTTCACTCTTGAATTTTTTCTAATCTGCATCAAGTATTATCTGATTTCTCTGAACCATTTTGTCCCAATTTTACCATTTGACAGGACTTTACAAAAAATCCTACCTGTCTAAGACTGGCTAACTCCTGATCCGTCCTCTCCTGTTTGGACCTCTGCAGTTCTAGCAGCTGATCTTTCCTCTTCTCTCTTTCCGCTGAAAATCATACAAGTGAGATAAATCAACCCAATCTATGGTACTCTGCAATAAACACCTCACAATATGTTGGTTACAAGTGTAAGTACATGCATGAACATTGTAAGTAATGACAAAGGTATGCACGTCTGTAACATGATATAAAATTTAAAATGACTGGTTACCTGACAATATCAGGTCCTTCTTGGCTGCTTCTAACTCGTTCTGTGCCCGTCTGAGGTTGTCCTGTACAGCTTCTACATCTGCCTGCTGTTTTGTCATTTCCTCTGTACAAATTACAGGCAAAAAATTAAGAAGCTAAAAGTCACACATGAAAAACGTATCAAATAGATTAATTACTTACAACAAAAGAAACTGTCACTCCGTCTCATCTAGCAATTCATGTAAAGCTGAAAATGTGTAGTCGTCCCCATGGCTAAAACATAGCTGCCACACCTTTGAACCTGTCAATCTCTTTCCTGGACTCTGCATATTTACTCTTCCACTCGGCCATCTCCCTCCTCAGGTTAGACTCCACTTTCTGACATTCCTGAAACAGAATGGTTGCAAAGATGATAAACAACACTACATGTATAATCCAAATAGGTGCAGGATTCAGGCTAGAAAGCTAACAGAAACTTGGTAGTAATCAGAAAACTTATCTATCAATCAGAAGACAGCACATAACCAAAACAAAAAAAGAGTGCCCACACCTACCCGACATGTGAGGTCCAGTCTTTTCAGCTTGGCGCTCATCTCCGTGATGTGTGAGGATGCCTCCATGAGGTCCTTGTCCTTCAGCTGTAGCAGGGTGGCTAACTCTTGCTCACGTGCCTCCAGGTGTCCCAGGTTGGTCGAGATGTCCCGTAAGGACGTGTTCAGACTCTCGTTCTTTTCCTGTGGACAAAAAGGTGTTGTAGTTTGTGTGTGTAAACATGATCATAGCTGTGGATGTCTCCAAGCTTTCAGAATGTTTAAACAAGGCTCTATGCAAAAAAAGATACCAATCTTCACACTGTATACAATAATCTGCACAGATTTCAACAGAATTCCTAAAGTCAGAATCATCTTACAGTCATGACCATCTCTGCATAGAGACCAGTTTGCTAATGTAGCCACTTTTTGGGAGTCCAGTTATATGAACATGATTAGCAAATAGAAATCTATCAAAAAGCATGTCCTACAAAGTCTAATTAGTAATTTGCCCTCAGTAGGTGTTTCTTTTTTTGAACAATCGATTTCAAGCCACTATTTTAGGCTATATCCTTTGAGAAACTCACATGCAGCATCTCCACCCTCATCTCTGCCTGACTGGCCCTCTCTGTCTCCTTGACCAGCTGTGCCTGGGTACTCTCCAGGGCGCATGACTTGGACTGGTCCTGGGACTCCACCACTTTGATCTGGGTGTGCATGTGCTTCAGCTCTTCTGAACGGTTCCGCAAATCTCCTGGTCAAAATTTGAGAGAGCAGAAAAGGAATCAGCCAACAAAGTCAGATACCAAACAACTTGTAAACATTTGTGTATGTAAATATGTCATTGATGTAGCAGAGAAAGGTCTCCCTGTGTATTCTCTGATGCATAAAAAAAAAGTTGATTGCCATAAAATCTAAAAAGCAAATTTTCAGCATTGTCACAACTTACAGTGGCTCACAGCTCTGAGTCTGACACATTACTGTCCTGCAATTTTGTATCTAACATTTAAGATTATCCATGTTACAAAGTCCTTCTTCAGTACCTACGCATTTACATGATATGAAATGTGATACATGTAATAACACTTAAACATCTTTGTGAATCAAGAAGAAACATTATAATGCTGGACAGAAGTTGAACCCTACCTTCTAGTCTGGAGCACCTCTGCTCGAGTGTCAGTACACGCTGTCTGTCGGCTTCCCACGAGGCCAGTTGCTTCTGGTGCGCCGACACCATGTCGTTCAGCTCCCGGTCACGGTCCTTCAGCTCACCAATCAGCAGCTGCAGCTCTTTCCTCTGCTTCTCTATTGTGGAACGCTCCAGATCAGTCACATAGTTCTGTAAATGGAGACAAGGATTTAGTTAGTAACAATTCATGACAATACAAATGTAGCTTTTACAAACACTTATTACAAGAAAATTGCCGTTAATTACACCAGACAGACCAAAAACACTTTACTTTAGAAGTTTTTTTATTTGTCAAGAAAAATTTGTGTTTCCTTGCCTGTCTAGGGGGAGATCCATTGTACATGCGGGTTGGGCTGTTGGACCTGCCCTTGGGGGGAGTTCCCCTGTTAGGACTGGGGGAGCGGTAGCTGGAGGCAGCAGTGGAGGGTGGGGCAGGGGAGTAGCCGAGGGAACGTCCACCCTAGATGGGAGAAAAACATATAATAGTCAAAAACAAACTATCAGCTGTGGATATCAAATGTTACTACCCTCATGGGCAGACTTCTATAGAACCTTTATATTAGTATATGATACCTCTGATAATAGTAATATCAATTGTATGAATAACTGTATCTAGTATACACATACGCCACAGCTGTTAGCACATCTGTTGTTCAGTACAACGTCAAGTGTCAGAGTTCTAATAGCCTTTTAATGCTGAAAGCTAACCATTCTAGCTATAGAGTTTCTCACATCCATTTATCAAACCTTTCATGGTCACCACCATGCAAACAGTAGAGTCAAGCTTTCTGTTGGTTCAACACTGAATAATTGATAAATGGGAGAACTACTATACCTAAATTACATATTATTTATATTAAGTGCTTTTATTAAACAGCTCCCAAATGCATAACTGCCATAGACAAGCTGTCGCCTTCCCGCAAGGAGAATAAAAACAATTCTACCATTTCTGACATCACAAATTTAATACTTTTTAGTCATTTGCTATGTTAACTGTTGTCAGACTCTCTATTTTCTTAATACACAGGTGGTACAATTTGTCATTTCGAAGCTTTATCTTAAGCTTGTACAACATACCTTTGATTTTGGCGTACTTTGATACTGGGGGTCATAGCTGGGAAGACTGTAGTGATTTGCTGCAAAACAAATGACAAAATAGTTACACTTACAGATGACACTTTTTGTAATTAAACCTATCCAATGGTGTATCATCAAAACATCTGATACAGCTGCCCACCTGCCACAGAGTAAACAAGTATCAACTGATGTACGCCTATTGGAGAACAATGCACGCAATGTAACCCATTCTCAACAAATTGTCAAACAATCTGTACAAACAAAACTTCATCCCTCCCCAACGCTCTCACTTTAGGAAAACTACCACTTATCCGAACCAAACTAAAAGTAACCCTGAAGTAACAAACCAACACAAAAGGTGCAGTCTGGCATGAAATTGAAAATGCTGTACTTGGGCTCATTTAGATGGGTCTAAATTGGACTGAATAAGGACGCGTTCTTAGGATGGTTGTGGGAATTACTAGGCATTGTCCTTGCAGAAATTTGAGATCTCAACTTTAGGAAACCTGAGTATACAACAGAGAAACATGTAAACATTGTGTCGTCCTGGCTGCCTAAACATCGGTTCAATAGAAAAGGAAAAATGGTTCGATGTTGGCCTTTGTATGTCCCTGTTTATAGTACACAGTCTCAAGAAAAGGGACAATGTTGTGTTATACAGAGTTCTGATAGTGACATAAAAGTAACATACATTGAGGGAAAATGATGGCAACAATGTTCAAGTACATGCACCTTCTCAAAAAGTTAATGACATATTGTACCGTGTTAAAACCAAAAATGGCAATTCTCTCTGTTGACAGCCTTTAGAAAATTATTAATTTTAAAGCAGTGGTCGAAATACTTTTTTTCAGTGCTCTGCAATATTGCAGAAGAGTCAAAATTTTGTTCTGCAATTTGGAAATACTTTCTGCAAATACACAAGCCTCCATACTACAATCTTGCAGGTTTATAAGCATGAACTATTGATTGATATGCAAATTAGTGAAGACAAATTTTTGGAAGTCCAAAAAGAAACAAAAGATAGACAAGTCAAGACAAGGTTGATGCAAATTAGTGAAGAAGCTCCTGTTGTTTCAGAATAGGAGCTTAAGTGTTGTCTGTCCTTGGGGCCAAGAGCGCCAAATCCCAAGTGCCAATTTTTACTGCTGCAAAATTGCAGATTGTATAAATTTTTCTTCTGCAATCTTGAAAATCTATCTGCAGATTGCAGACTGCAGACAGGTATTTCGAACACTGTAAAGTAACAACCACAGATAACTTGTCTGTTACCTAGATGTATCAGAAACACAGCAATACAAAATACTACAACAAATACAGAAGAAGATAAAAGCAGTTACCTATATTGACATACACCATTCGGAACTGGTTACACTGAACATTGCAGACGTTACGGTCCATATTTCCACCAACAACCACAGGAAAACGAGAGAAGCCCCGGCAAACGTTACAATGTTACCGCCAGAAATGTATCTAACCGACCCAAACAGCTGTAACCCACGCTGGGTGGTTACGGCTACTTGCTCCATTGATTGCTTTAGAATGCAGACCAATCGTTGCACCCTTTCACCCCCTGTAAACGTATCCTCCAGACTGTTCTTATGCAGATCCCCTTGATTATGCAAATTAAAATGAGAGGGAAGCAACTTGTCTTCCATACCATTAGCAACACTTATGGCAACCTTTGTATCCATCACAAAGGGATCTCTTTGCTTCACTGGTCTTGTAAACTACGATATTTGAGCTTGAAAATGTTAATCGCTTCAAGCATAGCACAGAACATATGCAGGGCAATTCTTCCGATTACAATTTCCAGTAGCAAGCAGCAAAGTTTCCCCTTTTTTCTGCTCTGAACTTGGCATAATTTTGTAGCTTTTTAGAAGCACAAAGCATCTGAGGACAGAAGCTACTCCTTCATGCATGCAAATGTTTTATGTTACATACAAAATTGTCTTCTATTGCTGTTGATCAGTTTAAGTTTCATAGCTGAGCATGAAAAATATTGGACTTGAGAGAAATATTAAACAGGACCACATGAGCGTGTGTCTGTGGTGGACACTTGGCAGCTACATCTGTTTACATGTAGTGTACAAGCTCCCCCTGTTGGTTTAGCATTGATTAACACATGGCAAACTAGTAGAACAGTTCAACCACAGTGACTGGATCAGTCACAGGGTCAAAACACTGAAAACTAAAAATGCACTGGAACAGGTAGGAGAATACGAGAATGCTTAGATCGTTGTCAGATATTGCAAACAGATAATCACGCATCTGAATACTTGCACTCTCACTCTCAGTTAGAATTCACAGCTTCTTGGACTGTTTTGAAAATGCAGTTTCAGGAGAAAGGTGAGACCTGTACCAAATGGGATCTGGACTAGTTTTGTCATGGCTCACCTCTACAACACAAACACATAGGTGTCCATTTCCCTGTCATGTGGTCAAGCCCTGATTTGCAAAGGAATCAGTTTGAACAAGGAGATTTAAACCTCCTTGGTTTGAAGTAGGCTATCCGGGGTGTTTTTACTGTGCACTATCCCAAAATAAACTGGGCACACAGAAAATGTAGGATGTCCATTTACAGCTCTACTGCATTATCCTACCCAGCCATTCATTTTAGTTTCAGTGTTTGTCTAGCAAAGCAACTTAGTATAAAAAGGTCATCTGTGACGGAAGATGTCATTATAACCTATATATAGGTGACATTTGAAAATTACACATGTAGTCGAATGTTCCAAGTTTTGCAAACAAAGAAATGGAGGTAAATATAAAAAAGCATATGTGAGGACTTGGAAAAAAATGTTGTGTTTCTTGTTTCAGTCCTGAAAAAAAATTAGGGTCGGTAGGTAAGGATTATCTTTTTTTTGGACTACAGGGATATATAGGGGTCCAACTTATACAATACAGTAAAAAGTAAAACTTGCATGAGGACACTTTTATTTTCAATGTCAATGATAGAAAACCAACATTGCACAACATTTTATGGAGCTAGAAAAGGTTGATCAGCTTGAAAAATGTCCCTTGCAGGGGTCCACCCCCCAAAAAAATCAGCAGTTTTTCTGGGCTCGGTCAGGAAACACAACATTTTTTCCTAGATTATTTTACAGGAACAGTTGTTCATACTTCTGACAATACTGCCATCCGCGCTCCTGTTCCCGGCGCCGCTGTAGTCCTTCCGTCCGCTAAACGGCGAGCCTCGGGCGGGTGAAGTGGGGGCGTGGTCCATCTCTGGTCGGGTGAGAAGTAATATTGGGAAGAAATAACAGCGCGGTTAGTGGTTACTATGGACACACAAAAGTCTAATGACTGAGCTTCATAAATTTGTGTGTGATGACTTCTTATTGGGTTTACTCTTTTCGTTAATGATTGGTGATCTTGGTGATTCTGGAGTGACCAGGAAACAATTTGGAATTATGGAAGACTTTTGTGAAAATTTGTTGCAGATAACACCTGTTAATCCAACATGAACGCATGGATACACATTTCTCTTCCATGTTGAAATAGCCAATACGACTACAAAGACATGCAAATGAAGCTTAAACACAGGGCAAGCATCAGGGTGTTGTAATTTGACTAGAATTTATGGTGGTACAGAACAGGACATCTATTGTTAAAAAATTATGTACTTTTTTATTACCTTGATATAGGGGATGCAAATGAAAAAATATGTTAGTTTCCCAATTCTTAAATGCTTGGGATTTCTTTGTTTCCCTGTTGTTTGATTGTTAGTGGGTCTTCCGTATCCTGATGGAGTTTGAAAAGAAGCAAATTATCACGAGCAGGTGTCATAAACATCTAACGACTTCTTGAGTGACACAAAATTGTCTTCCAAAAATTACAACAAATATTATAAACCATCTACTTGTTTAAAATGACAAGGTCAAATGCTTTTATGTAAATCACGTCTTTTTGAAAGAATGAAACTTAACTGCCTCTACACGAATCGATCAGTTGCTGAAGTTTTGAAAACAAACTTTGATCAGGCCGACACCAGCTGTACAGACGACTTTTTTGGGACCAAGCGACTTTTCAGAGCGCAAACAATCGCTTATTTCACAGCCTGTACAGATGTCTAGACCCTAAACGGAAGGCTACTGACAGACTGACACGTTCTACTAACCTGGAAGCAATACCAACGGTCAGGAGTCCGTTCTTAAGGGTTGAAATCCTGAGTAAAAGTACACAAAAACACAACAGTCGCCGCTGGGAAATTTGAATTTCTGTTTGAACTCGAACGCCGGGTAGAGCGCATGCGTCGGGTCACGGCGCCTGCGCGATGAGCATGACCTAAGGCGAGCTCAGCTCCAACCATCTTGTTACATTTTGCGAAATTTCTGGTAAGTTTTCATCGATTTTCATCACACAGAAACACATTTACGGGATTTTTTTCTTAGACTATGTAGATAAGAGCCATTCACTCAAAATAGTAAAATGTAAGGAGCAATGATGGGTTTAATGGTGTGAAAAACTTACTGTGATTTGCGGCATGTGAACCACGCGAGTTCCATACATGATATTACATGCTTTTTGTTGAAAGGGGAGGGGGGTAGTAGGAACCAGTCATAATAAGACACGTCATGTTTAACGAAACAAGGTTAAAAACGTGTATGTGCCACAATTGTGTCGCTTAAAATGTGCCATTCTACTGAACCTAACGTATGTTTAAGTGTTGATGATTTGTAAAACCATCAACACATGTTCACGTGCACATCATTAAAAAATAAAATTATTCATGTGAGGAAATTTCCTTGTCATGATTTATGAGAAGGAAATTTTCTCAAAGAAATGTTTTTTTTTATCTACATGAAACACTCACCACACCACCAAATCACCAACCCTCCACACTATATCACTGATCTACATATTCCATATGATACAGTACAATACACAGACTAAAATATAGTATGTCACACAATACTAAAATATTAATGTTCTACAAAGGGAACTGCAAAAAGAAAATGGACCTAGTGTCAGTGGTAGTGTTTTTGTTTTCTTTAAAACATACAACAGATATGGCATTGGCAAAAATACGGGTGTGGTAAAAATTGCAAAATGTTGTCAGGTGAAGTCAACTGTTGATGATGGACAGAAGCCATAAGGTGGTCATGATGTAATGCATTCAAACAAACAAACAAAAACAGAGCAGGACTGTGTACCTTCGTTGTGTCCAATGTGCGTCTTGTCAAACTTTCCCTTCATGGCATTTGCCATGGTTGCTCACGTTTTGACGTCAAATACTGAGAGAATCTTGTGGCCTGTTCTTGCAGATGGTTGGCTGTACTCGGCTGGAAATTACCAGGTGAACAATCCCGGAATTTGCATATACGCCGTGGACTGGTTTTGACAAAGCCTCCCCAGCCATGGCTTCAGGCAAGATGTCTGCCGACACCGCCCGCCTTCCCAGGATTGAAATGCTCCTGTACTTTCTGGGATTCTGTGGTCCAGCTTTCTATTCCATCTATGTGGTCTATGTCTTATCAAAGGAGATGGAGGACACCCTCTTTGAGGATCTAGAGTTGGACCAGTCAAGCTTCCTACCATTCCTAGGAAGAAAAAAGGACATAGCAGACTTTGAGTGGGTGTTCTGGCAGACGCACTTAAAAGAAGGACTTGTGTTTTGTTTCGTAGGCCATATCGTGGTCAGTAGACTGATGTCAATGTTCCTCTCAAAATACAGAAGAGAAGCGTACTTAGCCTACAGTTTCCTGTGCCTGTACTTAGTGCTTGGGTGGAAGCCTCTTTGTGTGCTTCTTGCCCACTGTATGGTGTTTTACGCTGCTGCATTGTTGCGGTCAGCGCTCCTATGCTGGGGGGTAGGAATATTTATCGTGGCCACACTCAACTCCAGCCTTTTCAAAGTACTTCAGTACACATTATCAGGGGAGGACGAGAGCACGTACTATCTACTACTTTTCACCGCGGCTATGTCAATTCTCCGACAGCTCAGCTTCAGCCTGGAAGTCTGCAAACTTCGCAGGGACCAGAAGGCATATTCTCTGTTTGACTTCCTCTTGTTCAACTTCTACATTCCCCTGTTCTTCAATGGCCCTGTCATCACGTACAACACATTCCACGAGTACATCAAACATCCCATCCTGTTGGACAAGACACGCTTGGAACGTGTTGCATGGTGCGCGTGCCGTGTTACGATATGGGCCATCATCACCGAGGCTGCGTATCATCTGCTGTACTTCTGTGAACTTGAACAGCAAATCTCCATCTTGGAAAACCTGCCCCTGATGGAAGTGACCGGTATAGGGTACCTTCACGTGCAGTTCTTCCATGTCAAGTACATGGTCCTCTATGGCTTCTCGTCAACCATTGCCATGCTGGATGGGATTGAACCTCCGATGTTCCCGCGATGCGTCAGCGCGCTGTACACGTTTACGGCCATGTGGAGGTACTTCGACAATGGCCTGCACACCTTCCTGGTCCGATATATCTACATACCACTGGGCGGGTCTCACAAGGGCATCGTGCGTCAGCTGCTGGCGTCAGCAGCTTGTTTCGGGATGGTGTGCTACTGGCACGGTGGACAGTACTATCTTATCGCATGGGGACTCCTCAACTGGACTGGCATCGTGGTGGAATCTACCGGCGCCATCATTGCAAAGACGGCCACAGTACAACATTACACAAGCCAACTCTCACCTCAGAACCAGAGGAGGTTGAAGGCACTGTGTAACGCTCCCATCCTAGCCTTCCTCATCCTGTTTAACTTAGTCTTCCTTGGAGGGACCAGCGCTGGTTATGTGTACTTCGATAAGTTTTTCATTTCGGGCTTCCCCTTTGTCACAGTAAAGCTTCTGGCTTCCATGTACTGTTCAGTTCAACTGACTCTAACCTTTGAAAAAGTGCTGTACAGCAAGAGGAAGATTAAATAGAAATCTAGTTTTTTTTTTAAGTCACTGATGTTGTTGGGTTGCAATCGCAGACAGAAATATTCTGTTTTGCTAAGTGAGAACTGTACACCAAACTGCCTTGTTTGGATTATAGATCCTGTATTGTACAATGAAAATAAAACATGCTAGTGTTAACATGTAGATGTTACCAGATCTAGTGTGCTGAAAACTGACAATTAGTTACATTTGGATTGTCTCTGTGTTATACTGTAGTCAGTCATGAATTATAAAACTGGTACAAGAACTGTATATATTATATCCTGGGACCAGTATGCATATTGTCAAAACTAAAAGCAAGTAAGGAAAGCAGAATTGTTGTGTTTGATTGTGTACAATGAAAAATCTAATCATGATATATTTACAGGGCATTTAATGCATTACCATGCAGTAGAGAGTGAGTTTAGCTTCAAAGATCCCTCTAATACTGGTGCTGATTAGTTGTACTCTAGTGCTGGGACACATTACCTGTTGCCATTTTGTAACAGTGCCATTTGAAAAACAAGCCAAAGTTGGAAAGTAATGATCATGACTATGTAAGAATTCTACCCTAGTAAAACAATCGTAGATCATCTTTATCACACTTAAGATATTGTTTTAATGTTGATAAGGTTATTGTTCATTTTATCTGTATTTTCATGTCAAATTTACCTTCATAATACATTATATACATAATATACTAGCCAAGAGATCTATAGACTCAACCTGGTGGACAATTTTAAGTAAGGATATAGATATCTATCTTCAGTGTTACTAAACAGAATGCAGATTTACTAGCCATGAGGAGTTAAGAGTGAGAATATATTGCCAACTTAAACAGACTTGAGTGGTACATGTGCCAATGTATATAGTTTGTCTGAATGTTTTTTCTGTTTTGTCATATGAGCACTTTGAAACGGGGCCAAAATATCCAATCTTGGTCACAGCTATTTAGTGCTAGCTGTAGATTACCACTTGTTTCATATACATTTCTCAGTTGCTATAAGGCATGTTGTATTTGCTGCAATATGTACATCTGTTTCATTAGATTAGAATGACATGCAATACCCAAAGAAATAAACATTTGTGGTGAACAGTATGTGTTTGTACTGTTTTCTTTTGTTTGTTCTCAGCTTTGGTTAGTATGAAGCATCCTCATCCTAGGAGGAGAATGAATTAATAGATTATGACAGGAGTACCTTTCAAAGGTTGTTGTGATCTTTTGGACTTGTTAATCTGATAAGGTATGATCTGGACATACCAAAGTCACTACAGATAGATTTACAAATTATGAAACTGTTATTTATGAAAAGACTTTTGAATTTGAGCGACATTGGGAAATAGAATTTCTGAGGCTTCCCCTATCAAAACAAATAAGTGCATGGCACTTGCAAAGAGGCTACTTGAAGTTTTTCAGTGTAACTGTTACTGTAGGTTCTTTCATTATTAGAAGTAGCATAATGATTGTAGAAGCAAGTTTGTTCCACTGTCATTTTTCCAGCATAGATCTGTAATCAATTGTCAATCAATTTTGTTTCCCAGAAAGGACATGGCTTCCACAGAAGAAGCCGAAGCAGAGGCTGGAGCAAAAGCACCAAAGAAAAATGTATCATATCCTCTAAGGATCTTATACTGTGGAGGTAGGTAACATAAAAGATACTGACAAAATCCTTCATCCTTATGGCTAAGAATAATTTTGGAGAAGTAAGCTGCTGACTTTGTTCAGTGAAGCACATTTTTCTTTATTGATATACACATGCAATAGTACAGTTCTACTTACATTGACAGGGACCAGTTTTAGTTTTCACATCAAGTCAAGACATGTTTTCTAATGTGTCTTTCTTTTGCCTCAATTTCAGAATGCACACTACCAGTAGAGGTAAGGCTTTCTAGCTGAACCTTTGTGACTATAGAGAAGCAAGGCTGCTGTGTAGCAGCCCCACCTGCTGCTGTGCATCAGTACTGCACATCAGTGATCAATGACGTTGCATGATTTCCTAACTGTGACACTGTAGAAAGAATATGCAAGTGTCTCTTTTGGTGTTTTGAAAAGATGTAAATGTAAAGTGTGGATAACAATTAATTTGAGTACTAGTATTAAAGATTGTATTGTCCATAAAATACTAATGTAGCATAAATGAGTTTAATGCCAAAATAATCTAACTTCCTGTTTCCTCATCTACCAACAGTACTGTGAGTACATGCCAAACAATGACAAGTGTAAAGCCTGGTTAGAGAAGAACCTGCCCTCCGAATTTGGCAAGTTATATCTCTCAGGTATGGATAGCAATATTTCTGCATTGTTTTTTTTTTTCTTTCTCAATGTTGATTCCTCTTGGTAATTCTTTAGACTTAGTGTTGGTTTTCAGTATTTACTTCTAATAGCTGTGTTGCCATGTATTATGCCATAATGGATCTATAGGTTTCTTCTACAAATTACTAATACATGTAGTTTCTTTCCTGTCTTGCAGAGAAACCCCCAGAAGGAGGAGACACAGGAGACACAGACAAGAAGGGAAGACAAAAGAGAGGTCAGTTTCTTGTACTTTTACTAGTTTTAGGCAGTCTTTGCATTGATACTTTCAGATGGAGACATATATTGTCAGTGGCCTTGTGTTCAAATCTCTGTTTGTAAAAGAACCCAACACAATTATCAAGAAGAGTAGGGGTGTCCTGGTGTGCTTGGCTGAAAAAATGTGAGCCATAGCACAACTGCATTGACTGCTGCTAGCTACTTGAAAAGGCGTCATGCTTCTCCTATGTGGAGATGACTTCACCTTACCTGTCATTCTTCATATTTCAGCCATGTAGAATCACAATCAAGCTGGTTGTATTTTGCCTTGTCCCATCCCTCCAACAGGTGGCAGAGGCAACATCAAAATCAAGAAGAAGGCGGAGCCACAGGGGGTGACGATCGCACGGGTACAGAGAAACAAGAAGAAATATGTGACCAGGATACGCGGGTTAGCTACATATGGTGAGCCTGCTTTCCTCTTTCCAACCATATTTTGGTGGGAATTACACTGCTGGAAAATGATATTGTGAAACCAAACCCATCAAAGAATATACATGTAGTAACAAAGAAATAGTAATAAAATTGTAAGGAATAAGGTTATTTCCTGACGTTTTTAATTTTTACATTCATCATAATCTTAGGTTCCTTCGTAGCTTCTTTCTAATGTTCATTTACATGACACAATGAATGGATTTTAGACAGTTGAAGACTTGTAGACAATCAGATGATACAAATGTTTACCAGCCAATTTCGTGTAATAACATGTTACCACAGCTCTATTCTCTGTTCTCCCAACAAAAAGAAGTACCAACTAGAAAGGCCAATATTTGCTTTGGAGCAAATACAGCGATGGGTTCACCACATTTTACCACATGGCAGGGAAAGAATGAGAAACACAAGGGAAAACAATGCTTTACATTGATATAACTATAGTATGAAGTAACATACAACTAAGACTACAACAGTTGGATAGCTATTCCCTACATTATTGGTTAGGATTGCATAATGCAAACTGTTGATTTTCAAGATAAAAAGAAGCGTTCATAGCCCGCATTCCAATGCTGGAGCAGGAAAGCTTAAAATACCTACCAAAACACTTGAATACAGACATACTGTCAGTATGGCATGGCTCTGTGCAGGTGTAAATGAAGTTAAGCCAGTTAAATCCCAACAGCCAATCAGCAAGGAGAATAGAGGAAAGCTGCATGCCTATTGGTTGATGCCTTGCATGCCATTGTGATGACTCATGTCCAAATGTGGTAAACACTGCACACTTACACAGTAATACATTAGCTATTACACAGCCAAAAAACTCAAATAAAACCATTCTAAAAGCCTGTATCACAATAATTTAAAAAACGCCTAGGGGTATTTGCCCACTGTACCTCCATACCAAATTTCAGGACCTTAGGCCCTAAAATGAAGAAGCTGAATCCATTTAAAGATATGGCAGGAGGAGGAGAAGGAGGAGGAGAAGGAGAAGAAACATCAGAAAAAGCAATATGGTTTCACCACACCACTTCGTGGTGTGGTGAACCCATAAAAACATCTTTTTGTATGTTTTGTACGCATGCAGGGCAATTTTGCAGATTAACATTTCAGCGTAGGCCCAACTGAAAAACATGTTGACAGGAAGTTCCTTGTCAATTTGTTTTCCATTTACAGTCGAACCGTGCAATTAAGGCTAATAAAAGACCTGCCCTCCAACTGAAGTGAAAAAGTGATTACCTGGAAGGGAGAGAAAAACAAGTCTGTGGCACGTGTGTTTGCCTTACACGTGTTTATTTGAACAAGGGGCTGAATCCTGCTGCTCTATGTCATGGTGTGCAGTGTAGTGTATTACAGAATATTTGGTTTGTAGAATATTAGCCTGGATAGTGAGGTGTGTTGTATGATGTTGTAATAGTTATTACAACATTAATGCTGCTGTGACCATTGATAATGTGTTAAGTTTTAAAGACATAAAGAAATTTTTGTGCTGGATGACCTAAAAGTTCATCCTGTCCCTTTTAATTGTAACAGATCAAAATTGCCCTTGACAGACGATTTTGTAATATAACCAAAAAAAGACACAATATAAAAGTACTAGTACTAGTAGTAGTTGCTCCAAATGAAAAGCAATTTTTTCCTGTTTCTTCCCACAGATATTGACCTAGAGCAAGCCAGAAAATTTTTTGCCAATAGGTTTGCGTGTGGGGCCTCCAGAACAGATGAGGACGAGATCGTGATTCAAGGGGACGTGACGGACGACATCTTTGATGTGATCCCAGAGAAGTGGCCTGAGGTCAGTAGGATCATTATAGCCTGGGAACCAGCCGTGTTAGGATTGTTATAGCCTAGAGGATAGATGGATAGACAGACTATGTATCAGTGGTAGAAGAATCATTTTCTTTATTTATTTGGAATAATAAGTAAACAAATTGCCAATACTGTGCAGTAGAAGAAATGAAAACTTGTGTATCCCTCTATTTCAGATTGATGAAGACAACATTGATGACCTGGGAGACCAGAAGCGATAACTACATGTAGCTGCTTTCTGGCAAAAACTCACCTAAACAAGCAACTTTCCACATAAAAATACAGCCCTCACATTTTATTTTGTATGCTGGTGAACTCTCAATGTGTCGCTTTTGTGTCAAAGGTAGGGTCAAAGACCCTAATACATGCTACATTGTACTTGTTTTTCAGCTAGTAGTACAGTTGTTCCCTGCTTGGACTATGGTAAAATATAACAGTTGGACTATAGGTTCGATAGATTTTCAGCTGTTCGGTTGGCAGTGATCCTAATTAGCCAATTAGGTACTAAGATTGGTCATGGAATTAATGAGTTCACTGACCAGATAAAAAGTCTGCCGTGACTGGAAATTTCAGATGAAAAGAGAGTCTCATGCCTGCCCAGTGGGAGCTAAAATTAAGGGCTCAACTCTTGTGTTAGACACATGTCAATGCAGATGGAAAAGGCAAAAATGCTGGAAAGTCTGAATTAAGAGCCCTTCAATCTTCAGATGACTATCAAGATCTCAAACATGAACTACAATAAAACAGTCCATCCACATGATAGTGTTGATCTTGTGCTTTATTTCTTTCTGCAACATATATTATATACAACCATATACATCCTAAAGTCTGCTTCTATGTGTTCAGTGTTTCTCATCTATTGCCATACTACAGCCAGTGTACACACTTACAGGTATCATCAATATGTACCAATTGTATCTTATCCAGTTGTCAACCTTTGATTAAGTTGTGCAATTTTTTCTTTGAGTCACGTCCCATTTGATGTCCCACATATCCATACATAAAGGTAAGCTAAGCAAAAAAGCAACCGAAAACACAACCTGTACTCTAACATCAACCACTTTTAGAGTTACAATCTACAGTATTTGACACTTTTTATGGTCATGCGTTATTCCTTGTTCAGTTAAGAATTTAGATGAAAAAAACAGAACATTGTATTCAAGCCTTTACACACATACCGGGGTAACACCATTTCAACATGTGATATATTTACACTGCACAGCTGAAGTCTTATAATATCAGCCATAGTCTGTATGTCAGGTCATATCTTTGTCATTCTTACTCCTAAGATTACTGACTGATAACACTGCATGAAGGGTGCATACATTTTCAGAAATATGTTTCAACTACAGGTTACATGTGCTAATGAATAGCAGTAAGTTTTCAAAAGGGATGACATTGCAACATTTTTCTATTTGTCTCTAATGTTTCCAAGATCATGACGTGTCCTAATTTCAATACAATGAATATTGAAATCCCACATTTTTGGCTCTACAATTACATGAATTAACACAAAATGTGCCTGAACTATGATAAGATGATTATCATTTATGTTGTTACCATGATAAAAAATACTAAGTAGTTAGTCCTTCCCATACCTGTTCTTGTACCAGGCAGTTTCCATCTCTCTCATTTGCATTGTGTTAATACATGAATATTAGATGTCAACATTTTTCCAGCAGAAAGCCATGATCTGACTAGATTACATGACTAAAAGCTCAAAGATTTGAAACAACATTATTTGCCAATTGGGTCATTTGGGACTGAAACAAATCACTGAAAACACAGAACCAAAAAAATCTAGTTGGAAACATGGAATGTCCAAAATAATCACCCATGTTAAATCTTAGTCATCTCATACTGCGGAACGTCGAAAACATACGACTTTGCATAAGGTTCTTCTTCTTCGTCGTCGTCCGAAATGTGTTCGTAAACGCTGTCGTCTGAGTCTGGTTTCGGAACGACACTGGGGCAGCTATTCTGATCATTGACTGGAGCGTGCAGGTTGGTGTTAGGTTGGACGGCCAGTTTGCCGGCTTGGAACTTAACCATTATACAGTACACAACCAAGACTACACAACAGGTGGCAACGATTAGTACAACAACTATAGTTGTCAGCATCCACCCTGAAAACTGGGTATCTGGCTCTTTAAATGACTTGTCTGGTTTGGGGGGCCTTTTTGTCATGGGCAAAGATTGGTCACTTTTGTCTAACGGATTAGACATTTCTTTTGAGACTTTAATCTGACCGAAGGTCCTTGCTGCCGCCAAGGTTGCATTATTAACGTCAAGCATACTAGTATTTGTCGCGTTTTGGAAATTCTGATACATTTTAGTTTGGTTCCTTTTTGATTCCTCAATTCCGGAACTACTGGTTGTTGGCGGCAGCGAAGATGAAGTAATGCCGTTAGAATGCCCATCTCTGGGGCAGAAATCGTCTGCAGGACAAGGCGGGCCGTGGGTCTCATTTTGGAACATAAGATTCCAGAAGTCTCGACATGGCGAGATATCTAGTCGGAAGAGTTCAACATCGACCAGGTCTGAGGGTGTCTTACAGCGGAACAAAGACGGTTCCCTGCGAAACTCACGGACAAGCGCGTTTTTGCCAATTTCAGAACGACAAGCATCGATACCGCGAACGGTTATCTCCAACCGGCACTGTTCCGCAACCTTTGCCATGTCAATAAGCCAGGCAATGTCGCAGTCACAGTGGAAAGGGTTTCCAGCTATCAGCCCCGCATATGGAACACTGCCCCCCCAGGTCATCCCTAAGTCACACCAGGACAGCGTCTTCAGACGGTTAAAGGAAATGTCCAACTTGTTGAGGTTGCGTAAGGAAAACCGAAACGGAAAGAGCTTGACACAGGAGATATTATTATAAGACAAATCTAAGTATGATAGCCTAGGCAGATCTCTCAGACAGGCCCAGCAAACTTCAGTGATTGTGTTGTTTCTTAGGTTCAGGGTGTGCAGGAAGGGCAGACTCCGACATGGAAATGTTGACAGGTGGTTGTTGGGTAAGTAAAGTTTAAACAGTATCATGGGCAGTTTTGTTGGAACGCTCGTTAACCCCTTGTTGTCACAATCTACCACTGGTAATTGTCCCCAGTCTTTTATGGAACAACCTCGGACAAGCAGGGTGGCAAGTGCTGATATTTCGCTAGCTACCGTCAGAGAGACAAACATCAAACCCAGGACGACAAGAATCTTGGCCGGGTGTAGATGTCTGCTTTGGTGCCGCATGATAACTAATATACGAACAATTTCGTGGAGAATTGAACTTCAGTTCAAGGTAATAGGTGAATGCAGTTATATGTGTAAGTGCATGTACATCAATATTTTTATTTCACATCAATTTGACAGTTTTATTTCCGTGTAGTGTTATCTTACCTAACCAATATGGAAATGATTTCAGACTTTAAAGGGAATGGCCCGTAGCACAAAGAACACAAGATAGATACCTCGTCTTCTTTCTACTATGCTTCAGTTAAATTAGTATTCATCTGTTTCTCATCGATTTATTATTACAATGATAGTGAGTATGTCTGACAACTGAAAGAACTTTCTGCACTCGGCCTTGTTAGTGTTCTTGGCTGAAAGTGAGGTTCTAGAGAATGAAGCAGCAAATTCGTACGGGCCTCCAACACTTGAACCCCTGCTCAAATTTATCAACCTCCGCGTTTGGGGGATTGTTCATCAGACTCTCCTGAAAATGCAATAACATTTGCTCAAAAGCCATGAATGTTAAAAGAAGGTTTATATGTCCTTACAAAACAGAACATAACTTACCTCGCAAACGGCTTCTCCTCATCAATGTTACAAATATCGTTAAAGACATTTGCCATCAACGTGACCAATACGTGACTAATGCTGTCCCAAAACAAAGCCATGCAAAAACTTGAAAAAGAGAATTTTTTTCGTCTAGAAAGAATCAAAGTCCTACCTTATAACAGTCAAACATTTGTATACCTTCTGAAACAAGAGATGTACCGGTACCGACCCGTGCCTACCCAGACAAGTTGCTGCCGCTGTGCCCAACACATGCAGTGACGCAGTCGGGAAAGGAACGCTTGATTGTCTGCCTCAGTACCTCTCCTTGAGACTGTATGTTAGTTACAGGATATTACAGTAGCAGAACGCGTGCCCGAAGCCTTCTCATAGATCCCATTGCATGCTGGGAGGCGCGGAGCGTTGTGGGTAGATTCGATTGCCATTGTAATGATATTTTCACCTCCTGTGTTACCCATAGTGTCCCGCGTCTCCCAGCATGCAATGATCAGTGAAAAGGTTTAGGTCACACGTACTACTGCCGTGGTGTAATCATGTTCGCATGCAATCATCTCTCCTGTTGCTATATTGTCTGGAGTCAGATATGAATAAACCGATGAGAAGGGGGGGGGATCAGTCTTCATATTTTGCAGGATACACCGCACTTTCGCGGACCGTATTTTACATATACCGATCTGACCAAGGAGGTTACATATATCGAACAAGAAAGATTCGGAGCCACCTGTTTGTTTTACGAAATGCATAAAAAGAAAAGGTATAAGATCACCGTGGTTGGTTGGTTGATTGATTGATTGATTGATTGATTGATTCATCAATCCTTGAATCATGATTAATGAAAAAGAACATAGGAACATTTTGTTGCTCTCAACATTCTACAACTTAAGCATTCGATCATGCATTCTCTCATCTTCTGAAGATGATAGCCAAAATAATCAATCTCTATGGTTATGCGTATACTAAAAATAATTGCAGAACTCAATTGCCGATATTACTACTACGGTTGGCTGTGTTTTTCATTTCTTGTACAATTGGCACATCATAAACTGTTCATAACAGTCCACTTTCGCTGAAATTTGTTCGATTTTCCATACCTTAAGAAAAGCTGATTCCGTGAAGACGTTGCGTTGTGGCGGAGTAAGAAAACAAGAATGATTTGTCTGGTGTGTGACATCATGATAGTTGATCACGTGATGTGTATTTCTTCAACCGTCCTATCTGGTGCAGGCTTCATGGTCTTGAATTATTGATACTAGTATACTGATGCTGCTTCTACTGGATGGATGGATAGAATTGATGAGTTAAACGTCTAAAACCTTCCTATAAACCAGTCTCCAACGAACCAACTGCCAATCAACAAACTAGCCCAACCAACCAACCAACCAACCAACCAACCAACCAACCAACCAACCAACCAACCAACCAACCAACCAACTTGCAAGCTGACCAGCCAGACAACCAACAAACAAACAAACAAACAAACAAACAAACAAACAAACAAACAAACAAACAAACGCAAAATAACAACTCCTTCGATTAGACAGCTTCCGGGCAGTCCGCAGGTGTACGTCACTCTCTAAACCACCACGCCCGAGTCCACCGACTTCTAGAAATCTAACCCACATTTTGTAGAAGTTTGTTATAGCGGTACGTCATTGCCACAGGAAACTGTGGTTTTGAACGATGTTCCAGCCGGAATTCCTTACCATCTATGGGTCCCGGTCCAAGACCAGAGTTACAGACAACGTCCCCTGGTGGGAATATGTTACAGAGCACACTGTATGACAGCTGTGGAGAAGACTGTTCCTGGCACACGAAAATGTCACGTTCCTTAGTTCTTGGTCATGGAAATGCCAAAAAAGCGCTTGAAAAATGTTACACGAAGAAACGTATCATGCAGATTCTGACACTAATAATAAAACGATAAAACCTGTCATTATATCATGCATGGTATGTCTGAAGAGTGATCTAATTAGGGACTTAATGTCACATAATTGTCTTTAAAGCTTTGAAGCTAACAGAATCGCTGACCTTAACTACAAGATATATATGTAAACTACAAAAGTATCAACTATGACATTTTTCGGTAATACCGTGAAATCACACAAGATCGAAACCCGTCTCTATATGCACTGAATCCGTATGGGATTTTCTTGCCATGGTTACTTGAAAAACAGATCACAGTCTAGACCCGAGATGCGTTTGCTTGGCTAAACAAGAAACTGAAATTGAAATCACATTAAAGAAACTTGTGACGGAGTCCAAGCTAAGCAAATTGATCACACTGAGATCCAGTACTAGTGGGTGCGTCAGAGGCGTCAAATCGTAAAGTGAACGGACGAAAACTGCCTGTGAATGTAAGAAACACATTCTACAGTCCACCACAGGTACGCGACTAGGTTGTGATTTTATTCCATTTTTGCTGACGTGTTTTCCAGCTTCTGAGAAGGTAAAGACGTCAGGTGTGACGTCACGCGTTGGCGGACCTACGCTCGCGCTACTTTGGTAGGGTACTATTAGATTCGCGGGTCTTACGCGATAGTCGCTGTTACCGCAACAAAGTGACGATCAGCTTTACACATGTGGATTACTGATTACTATGTACGTACTTAAGTACCCTAGTGGCTAGAGCTCGCTTTCTGACATTCTGGAGGTTGTCGGTTCATACTGGGTTGTAGGTTCATCATATATACCGTCCTTCAATGCTTAGCACCTGAAGTTATGAGCACAGAACGAGTATAGTTGTTGAACACACACCACTGCCATTGAGCTTTTCCCCTACTGCAGAGCTTGTATTCTGTGTGGCCCAAGGGCTACAGAAACGGAGATGGGCACAGCCCTATACATCGGAAGGTATATGGCAAGGGTTAAGGTAACTAACTGCAAAGAATGTGAATGATAAAGCTCTAAAGATTACATCGCTAAGATGTCCGGGTAACCCGGTTCTATGCCAGGCGTTTCCCCACTTTTATTGTTCACAATTTACAGCGCAATTATTCAACCCGCAGCAGCTGGTCTATAAATAGATTCTTAATGTATCATAAGGGAAGCATAAAAGTAGTTACCCCTCCAAGCGTGTTACCCTCCCGGGCCACTGCGTGTTTTATACGCCACAATCTGCTCATATTGGCGACCCTCATAAGTCCATTTGGAGAGTCAACGCGTTGACTTCCTACATCCTAAAAGACTACTTAAGTCATTCAGTCTACCGGTGGGCCCAGGGACGTTCTATTGAAGTATGACGTCCTTGATGGGCCCTTGACCATACTCCATCTGGAAGTTCACGGTCGGAAGATCAAAATGTACCGACGGGCGCCCCCAAGGAATAGAGCAAATATCTAATGATCTATGAATTCTAAGGAAATCGTATCCTACTCATAAATGAACAAGAAGCTTGCAACATTTTTCGGTTATATTCTCCATGAAGAACTCTTTTGCACCACGATCCTGATCCGTTCCAAATTCCTTGTTATCGATATGATGTAAAGATGATAAAAACACATTACGAGGCAGCCACAGCCGCTCTAGAAATCGGTGCCAACTGGAAGTTGTACATGTCAGATCCCTGATTAGGCCCAGTGTTATTATGTCTGCTGTTGGGGGATAACAGAAGTGCGAGATCGTGTCAGAACTTAACTAATGGAACATGAAACATCGCGCTGATGTAGCCTACAGGTGACCCACATTTGTAGCATTGAATATAACACACATTTCAACACCTTGACAACAACAACAACGTTATTATAATATTCGCGCAATATTGCCCTCGACATCACCACAAAGTTTACAATTTACTGTATGTCAAAATCTTGTATCCAAGTGCAAGATATCTTAATATGATATTGACTTTTGTAAATAGTAGATATATATACGCGCATTGACCTTTTGATCCAAGTTAAATATATCAATATATACATACATATGATATACACACAATGACCATTGCCAAGCCCCTTGTAGACCCACCCTATTTATATGTG